TGCTCAACATGAGGGATCCCGCAAGGGATACCCCGCGCATCTTTGGTTTAATTTGGTGGAACGGCAACGACCTCGTCGGCAGGAACGGAATCACGCCCAATGATTCTACGTGGCGCTATGAGGCTGCAAATCCCGACAGACTCGGTACGCAGGCGCGCATCCTTGGCAACGTTAAACTGTTAGCCGAATGCAAGGAGATCTCCGACGAGCTCTGCTGTATATGTGGAATATCTTCTTATCTTTTTGAGTTGCCTTCGTTTGTCGATATTTTCTGGGCAGAAATCAACGACATCATTGAGAGTCTCGGCATACACCGATTCCAGCCTGACAATCTGGTTTACCAATCCGATAAAGTTGATCAATGGCATATGCGAAAGACGCAGGAGAACATCGATCGCTTCGTGAACTATGTGACCTCGATTGTCAAATTGTCGTACCATGTCAACGTCGTTGAAGCTTCCCGAGAGGGAATTGCCGCGCTCAACAGGGTGAGAAGATTTAAATACAGTTGGGATTCCTCAGCGACAGTCAAAATACCGGAATCGTATTTACAACTTATCAATGAATTTGTTGAACAGCGAAACGCGCGAATGCAACAGACGTTGGGGAAGAGCAGGCAGTTTACTGTCGAGGAAGTACAAGCGTACAGCCCCTTTGAGACGAATGACGTGTCACTCGAAGAGCTAAAGGCCTCCGTTAATCTGGAAGGCGAAGATCCTCAAGATGTGTTGCAGTTTATCAATGTTGTACCTGTTATTGAGCTACCGGAGGAACAGCCCGCATTGGACGAGCCGATGGATGACGTTGCGACAGCCGACGTAAAAGTCGAGCCGAAGGTTGAGGAAACCGACGCGGACGTTGAGATGCCCGATAGCTATACAGGCGCAACCGACGAAGTACCTGGGCCTGATACTGGTATCGCAGGCGTAAATGCCTTGCCGACAGCACCAGAACCTGATCCACAGATGGCGAAGATCGAGGCCGAGGTTCTTGATGTTTTGGCTGATGATGAAACGACTGTTGAAGAAGGTGCAACCGGAGATGTTCCTATGATCCCTACGGACGCGGACCAATCCGCAGAGGGTCAAGCGTCTTCATCTGACCCGAGACCACCATTGCCGCGATTGCGAGGCAAAGGGCAGGGTCAAGGCACCCCTTCGGTCACTCCCGTAACGGGGAGCTTTCTTGCACCTGAGAACAACGACAACCCCGACTTGAAATTTTCTGGAAAAGGGAAGGGCGTTCTCGTTCGCGAGACGAAGCCTAACCCCGAGTACAAAAATATGCAGGTCGAGGTTGAAGAGGTTCTCGGAAGGTATCCTTACCCGGATCACCTACTCAAGGCCATCGGGAATGGCAACATCCAACTCCTCGAGGATGAGCTGGGCCGCGACGCCAAGCAGTACGTGCTGTACCACGTTACTGGCCATAGGTACTATTATGTATATGAGGATTATCATCATGGGCCTTGGGAGTGGTGCTGCTCCTGGCCACCTCATGTTCGTCGCGGTATTTCTGGTCTTCTTCGTGGACACGTCCCAGACGTCAGTATTTATGATCCGGCGTGTTATTTGCCAATTTACAAACTACTAGATTTGGCGAAGGCCAAATTCCCTGATTATGCTGGTTCTATGAATGTTTTTGAGTTGATTTCGATGGCTATTTATGACCACAAAGATCGTTTCGAATTTCAATGCGTGTACGACTCTCGTGTGAACGAGCAGCTCGAACTTTTCGCCGCCCCCGTCAAGATCCGATGTGGACAAGGCCACACTGACGACGTTCTCGAGACGCGATCAAATGAAGTGCTAGCAGTACTAATCTACTGCCGTCCTGACCATGTACACAGGTACAATGCTCGTTTGACAGCGCACGGGAATTGCGATATACCACCTCGGCTTTACCACCGAACGCATGAAGGTGCTGCGCGATCCATTATTGCGAGCGGGCTCATTCCCGGCGGTGGAGCCGGTGGACCGAAAAGCAAAGGCAATTCCTTCTTTTCAACACAACCTCTGGGAAACCAGAAGGCGATATCTGGTGTTCGTGCTGACCGACCAGTGGAGATTTGTTTTTCAACACCGGATGTGATTGAAGCAGGAGTTGATCTTTTCCTCACAAATTCTGGCGCGGTGATTACCAGCCATCACGTTCCGAATACGTGTATTCTATTTGCAACTCGAGCCCGCGCAAATGCGGAGCCGGAAGTTTTCTATTCGAGGCCGCAGGCATTGGATCCTTCGAACATTGAGGTCGGTGTTCCGCAAGATGATGTGACATTGGTTCCGGGAAAAGTGTCGGAAGTACGCACCATTTTGGAAGGTACAAGCGACGCCACTCCCGAAGAACGCACAGCTAGCAGCAGTGCCGCAAAGAAGGAAGAGATGGAGGCAAATCGCAATACAGCTGTACCACAGATCGAGAGTGGATATTTTCTACATCTTCGAACTTTCAGCTGCGATAAATGTACGACACTTTCCTTAGCAGGAATGGCATCTTGTCATCGATGCGGAGTAGTATTTCAGAGCAATACTACAGATGGACCGATTTCAAAATTTATGCGACTTCAGATGAGGCGTGCAAAGGTGCTACAAGAGCAGGGGGGCGTGCCCAAGAACATGACCGCAACAAGCATGCTTGACAGCATTGCCGCGCAGGACCTACAGTCTGGACGACCTCCAGCTCGTGGTAGCCCGTCAGTTGACAGTCAGATTATTCTTGCAGCTCGCGGCCGCCTTCGCAAAGCATTGAAATCAGGGTATGAGAATGTATTCGATCGATTCAACCGCGACGACGTCTTCGCTACCTCCTTAACCGGAGAAGGATGCACAGCGTTTGATGCAGCGCAAGAAGACTTGTTTGCGTCACTGCAATTACCGGCGCCCACGAGATCAGCGAAGCAGAGATCAAAAGGGAAGTCGGTTGTCAGTGATTTGGATCGACTGGACAGGGTTGACCTCGCCAAGCTCGCGTATATTCGATGCGGTGTTGACAACCTACATACCTGTTTCAAGCAAGGCGTCGACGAGAACTTTCTGATCAGTTATCGCCGAGAGTTTATGTCACTCCGACAATACGCCGCCGTAATTGGCGATAGCCGAGATGAGATCAAGATCCAGGGCTTTATCCCCACGACGGACGTCTATGGCGATATTCATTCAATTCGTATTCCTCGTGGAGACACGACAGGCATTTACAAGATTTTGAGTGAGTTTGCAGAGCAGAATGAAAATTATGCAAACATTCAATATCAGAGAAACGCGCAACAGTCTGCAAGTGTGCAGGGACGCGATCGTGGACAGCCAGTTTCACAGATGGGCTTCATGAACATCGAACAGCGCATGGCCACGCCTTATCCCAAGTTTGCCGATTGTGGCCAGGACATGTCGTCTGACGAGATTCGACGGCTTGAAGAGATCTTGCTTGAGTTTGGGCAGCGTGGAGCACCATCTCCTCAAGGACCTGTAACAAGGCCCCCGTTGACGCGGAAGCGATCGCAGATGTACATGGAGACTATTGGAGATGCAGACAAACGACCGAGGCTGCAGTGGAGGAGGAAAGAAGACCGAGATCAATCTGGTCGTATTGCAACTTGGGTTGACAACCGGACTCCACCGCCAGGCGTGCCTCAGCCGCCAGCTCCCGTAACAGGGACGCATACCTCGTCGGTATTCCGTATGAATGCACCTCCTGCTCAAGGACAAGTTTCAGGAAAGGGTGACTCCTCCAAACAGGATGTCGGTGAACGGAGAGATGTTTCTGGAAAGGGCAAAGGCCAAGGCAGTTCTTCGGCAGCAGGCTCAGCCGCTCCCGCAAAAGGGACGCCGCGTGGTTCTGTCGCCCGAGCAATTTCCCAGAGCCGTGTCCTTCCACCTAAACGTGGCAACATCCCCAAGGACCTCTTGGGTCCCCCAACTTCACCGCCACCGTTACCTGCACCCAACAACCCACCTGCAACTGGCCTTTCACCAATCTCCAAGCCACGTCCAGCCAAACCTTCACCTCCGAAGGTCCCACCACCAAAGGTGCCTCCTCCAAAGGTTCCTCCACCGAAAGTGCCACCCAATACAGCCAGTGGCATTCCGGTACATACAAGGCCGACAGATTTCAATCTCACGCCGAAGCCGCCGCCGCTTACAGACCTTTACAGTCGGTTGCAACCTTCCGTAAGAGGAAAGGGCAAGGATAAGCAGCAGGTGAGTGTTCGAGGAGGACCTTATGCTCCACAGCAATGGAATGTACAAAACGTGCCACCGCCGCCATTGCCACCCGGAACTTCATCCGCTTCGGCATCATCGTCACATAATGCACCCTTAACTGGGCCGCCGACTTCCAGCATTCGTGGAACTATTGATCGACCATTGGAACCCTTTGATTTTCCTGGAGTACAATGGCAACGCGATGACCCATGGGGCGAGAACTATTGGCCCAATCACATGGAATTGTGGGAGTGGTTGAGGCAGGGATGGCATGACGAGACGGAGCGTTTTGGAATACAATTTCTTTAAGCAGATGTTGAATAGCTACCATAAATGGTATGCCTTGCAGCTTATGAGTGTTGAGATAGAGATCACCTTCTGACGCGCTGTGAGATGATGTTTCACTTCATTGTCTCACTTCCCAATGCATCCATAACAGGATTGCCATAGTCGGAGAGTGAACTTTTAATCAATGCTTAACACTAACCTGGGCCTAGCATGTTTAACCACATGCCGAGTGAGGCGAAAACTGTACATTAGGGTAGCTACGTTCTCCTTGTATAGTGCATGCACGAGCTTGATGAGGGATTTCTAATATGATTCCTTCGTCGCTAGAATTTGATCCTCCCCGAGATTTTCCCTACGGGTAGCTCCTTGTAAAGGGGGGTGTTGAAATTCACCTCATCCCCATGGACCCCGTAGCGTTGACTCTCAAGGTAGAGCAAAAGGTAGCGCTTACCGGACTAGCAGGGTTAGCTAGGTAGTTAGTACTATTAGAGCTGATCCTGTAAAATACAGAAGATCAGCGCAATACTATTACAAAGGATGATCAGCTACAGATGATCGAAAAGGAGGATCAGCTCAAGATGTTCGCAAAGGAATCCAAGGAAGACCAGCTCAAGATACTTGACTTGGAAGGTCAGGTGCAGGGATGGGCTCACACTTATTCGGGCATTCAAGTCCAACACCACAACTTGCACGCGGAGAACATCTCCAATTACAACATTACTTGTGTGCCAAAGGTTTGGCTCCTCCTCTCTGGGCTCTATCGTTCCTTGAAATATGTTCGCCCCAGCATGCTGAACATGCTTCAGCGTTCAGCCGGCGACTGCTGGTTTGTGACTCTGCTGGTCTCCTCTTATGATGGCATAGATCTTGCGATTCTTCAGGATGACTACCAGTTTTTCCAGGGACGCTTTAGTTTTGTCTCAGTGATTCGCTCTGGCATTGCGAAACCCAAAGGATATGCCTACGCTGTCCACTGGCATGGCTGCTGGTGGATCGCGCAACAGATTCGAGAAGCGTTGAAAGGGAAAGCAGCCATGGACCCAAGTAGCACTTTGGCGCTGTCAGACTTGGCGTGAAACACTGAGAAAAAAGGATTCATGATACATGTGAAAGACAACTTGTTCTTCCTCACCCACGTTATAGAAGTACGGTATGTTCAGCTATTCAAATGTTCCATACCATTGATGGCAAAGCAGCACACATATGAAGACCAGACTTTGCTTTTGTCCACCCGGCTGAGGCACCATCGTACTTCGCCATCGGCCCGACGAGTGCTTTCGTCACTGCTTCGACGTGGAGGCTGCGGCCGCCGCCTTCACGCGGTGGCGGTACTTGATTTTGGGGCAGCCTATCTCTGCCGACAACGGCCTCACCACCAACTGGGCCACCTACAGCAACCTCATTGCACCTGGCCTTGCAGCGAATCGAAGCAGCAACTTGTTTCTCAGCGCCATGTCGGCCAGCTGGTCCAAGAGCGAATACTGCAACGGGATGTTGGATCCCGGGGAGTGTGACCATGGAATCCCATATTGCCTCATGAACAAGAACACTGCGCCCTGCCGACCTCCGGTTCTGCTGAGTTGGCAGCAGCATTGCCTGTGCCGCTTGCAAGGGAAAGGGTCCAGCGAAACCTCGCTCTGTATTGATCGAAAGCCACCAGATTTGCCGCTTGACGCCTGCATGGACATCACCAAGGGCACCAAATGCATCCTGCCCAGGAAATCCCACCTTGCTTGATTCGAGTATTTTTACAATGCTTTTAGCGTACATGGACTAAGCAGCTTGCAACATTGCATGCAGCACAGCATGACACAATTGACCACTGCAACGTATTTGTTTAATCCACTTGTCATGCATTTAGAAAACCAAAACTATGTAAGATATACATAAACGTTATAAACAAAAGTCTTCAACATAACACGTGTTTGCACGTGCCTTTTCAAATCTTTGCCACCAGCGGCCAGTATCAAGAGTGGTGGAGGCGGCGGGAACCCATGGGCGCATGCTCGCCCAGTGGATCGACCCCCGTGAAAATTGGAATCTACCGTTGTGGACACACCAGTGGCTGTTGAGGCACACCTGTGAAGCCAGGAACCATCAAAGAATTTCAAGAATTGTGGCACAACTCTTGGAAGACGATCTTTTCTTAGAAACAGGACGCTTTTGACTGGTGACCACTGTGGCCTTCCTTGCGTGTCCAGGAGCGGTTGGCAAAAGCTGCCTCAGCAGCTCTTACCACCTGCGTGGCAGCTGAAAGGTGGCCTCAAGGATTCGGGGAATGTGGCCTACATGCGGCCCACGTCGAAGAAGGGTTACCAGACTTGCAAGGCCTGGATAGAGCAAGAGGCAGAGTTTGGTGTTGGGTTGTATGCACTATCAAGATCAAGAGCACGTTTGAACATAATCGGACCTTTTAATTTTTTTGTTTGTCCAAACAAGATGTGGAAACAGCTGCAGATCCTTCATCTCAGACCTGTTTGTTGTTGACAGTTTCCGTCGAAGGCAGGGCGAGATCTGTGAAGTGCTGGACTGGCCAAACAAGAGACTTGGAGTGCATCGCTAGCTTGTTTGGTTGTATTTCCTTGGTGCTGTTTTGGTTTCAGGCCGATCACCTTTATCTCCAGGCTTTTCATTTGTCTGGTGGAAACTTGAGGTGGAGCGCAAGATGATCAGATGCTGGATTTGTGAAGCCATGTCCTACCCAGCGCGCTCATGAACGCTAGGTGTGCCAGGACGCAAAAGTAAGGGTCGCACAAAACATGGCGCTGAGAGCAGGCGGCTCTCCGTGCGAAGTTTGCAGTTTGTGGGTTGGCATTGATTCCATTGCAGTAGTTGCTAGTGGCATCCAGCACGGCCGGTGGGTGTGAGGCAACTACTAGAGCAGCTTCCAACCGTTGAGTGTTGGAAAGAGCATCCTACCATAGCTGGTAGCCATCATAAATCATAGCCAACAACATTGAACTACGGTAACTATATAGGAGCTTCCAGCATGTGCCAATGTAGTCTAGGGCCTAGGGCGGTCCTTTGGTGATCCCTTAGATGAAGCTGCTGGTAGGACGTTGATGGGGCCCGGGTGCACTGATGTGCACTCGACGTCATTTTGGAATCCTTTCTCATTCAAGGATATTCAAGGGGCGTTTGGTTCGGACTGACTCATTTTTGTCCCACTACTACTGGGGCCATGGACGTCCCCGTTCGCCATGACCTTCCTCCCGAGGCGGGCGAGGCAGGCGAAAGAGTCGGAGTGGCACGCCACGCTTGCAGAGCTAAGGTCGGGTGTCCAACCCGTTTTTTTCCACCTCCATGACTCAATGACTCCATGTGTACCAATTCGGCCCTTCTGCAACTCACTCCTTTCGGTCATTTGCAATTGCTTGCTGAAAGACACATTCATTTCGAGCCCAGAAGTACCACACTTCATGTTTCAAGGATAGTTTGGTTCATGTTTGCTAGGATAGCCTTTCCACTGCGTGAATTTGTTTCTTTATTTCTGCCACATGCATTACAGGAGTATAGCAGGGCAGTTGACAAGCATGTTCACAACTTGTTTGCTTGCATGAGCTTGACTTGAGCCTTTGCTTGGGACACAGACCTCATAATTCTTCAATGTCAGTGCAGTCAAAGCACTTCCGCCGTGGTTTTTCAAACTGCAGCAGTTGGCTTTTCCCAGCTCCAGCGGTGAGCTTCCCTGGGACCCGAGTTTCGCCTCCTTGCCGCCCACCCGCCACGTCGCACGCGACCAGCCATGCTCTCCTTGATACGTCCGGATCCCGGAAAGCAATAACAGGAGTCCGTGGCACAATGCGGCACAGGTTTTGGTTACCTACACACAAGACACACCCAGAGTTCCCGGGTGATTGCAGATTCCAGCAGCAAGATTGAATGAATCATATGCCACTATTGTGCCACTATTATAATATAATATAATATAATACAATATAATACAATATAATCCAATATATATACTATAATATACTATAATCATCTATAATCTTGATATCGATTTGACGGTGAGCCACTCTTTGCTCCCCCCTGCTCCCCATCCCAAGTTGGCTGCTTCGCCAGTTGGCTCAGTCTCCGACTTTCAGCCCCTGCGCACCGCCGGACCTTGCCATGCACAGCGAGTCCTACTTGCCGGCCAAGCCTTCGCGCTTGCCGCGGAACACGGTGCAGACCGTGGTCGCGCCCATGGCAGCGCGAACCGAGCCGGCGCCCTTCACACCCCGCGCGGAGGCGCTGCCGCCACGGGTTTGGGCAGCGCCATTGCGGAGCTCATCGGTGCCCAGAGTCAGCTTTTTGGTCCGACAGGGGCGGCAAGTGAAAGGCGGACAGTGGAAATGGGGACACTGCACGAGATGACGCGGATGGCAATTGTCCCAATATTACTACGTGTTTTACTTTCTTCCCATGATTTGTTCCTTGATTCATGTTGTTCTACTTTGTTCTACACTATTTGGTCTTATCTTCTGGTTGACTTCAGCTTCCAACGGGTGACAGGACTCCACACTGACCTTCATGAAGAAGATTTTGGTTGATATTTCGGTCTGGGTGAAGAATTTACTCTATTTGTTATTTGGATTATATATGATTAAAATTGATTAAGGAATTTTTTAACAGTCTGTTGGAGTCTTTGGTGTATTCAAAGATTGGGGCTCACATGTCGCATCATTTCGCTGTTAATGTTATTATATAACAGTATAGGAGAAACTATGTTTATGTTGTGTCTTAGATTCACTTTTCTGTTGGTATTGGACTTCACACACATTCCACATCTGGGCGCCCGGCGTGTGATGTTCCCGTCGTGTTGCCGTTGGTGTTCATTTTAATTGAATCCTTCTTCTATGGCTGCGTGCAGACAGCATCCCTTCTTTTGTGGCTGTTTTTATGTGTTTATTTTTTGTGTTGTTTTGGGAGCACACCTTCCTTAGTCATTTTTTCTATATTTATTTGTTCATCCGTTTCCCCCGTAAGAGACACACAAAAACAATCAAAACACAACCATGAATCACGAGACAAAAAAACAAAAGCAACACCAACAGAGGCAACATTTGAAGTAGTATATATATAACACAAAACGCAAATCAAAACTGCACTTTAAACAACATAACAGTTGCAATAAAACATACAAAAAAGGAAGCGCACAAGCAAAGCAGTTCTAAAAATCAACCACCCAACAAAGTGAACACATGCAAAGTAACATGTTCCTCCATTTTGATTTTTGAAGTTGGAAGAGAGCATCCAGGTTCGCAAGGCCAGATGCCTTGCGCCCTTCCTCACGCTGGGCCGATGCTCTCGAGGGTCAATCTGGACGAGGTGCCAGCCTCGGCCTCTGGCTACACTACTCCGGTGTATGTCACTCGGTTGCACGGATGCACATCCAGAAAGATCAGAAAGAATGGAAGCTCACACTTAAGCCATGTGGCATCCAGGGTGGAATCCTTGTACAAAGCCCTTGGCCCTTGCTCTTGGCGCTTTCCACTTCTCAAATCATCTCACCTTCAGGTGACCAGTGGGCACACCACACCTCGACCCGTCGCGGTGCCCTACGTTCACCGCACCACTGCACGGCCTCAGTTCGTGCGCCTGGACGACCCGGGCTCCGGTGGAACCGCTCCGCGGGGACCGCCGTGGGGACCGGGAGCGACGTGCTCGTCGCTGGACGCGGCGGCGGCGATCGCCCGACTGCAGAAGGCATTGGCAGATCAGCGGGATGAGCACGAGGCGTTTTGGGGACCAGGATGGGTGTGGCACCAGGAGTCTCAAAACACCAGAAGGGAACTGACTGTCAATCGTGATAGTTTTTTTGATTGGGTGCTAAACGCCAGGAGAAGCACAATTGCCCTATTGCTCCCTGCAATGCCTATTATGGGTCAGTCAGTTCGTGCATAATATATTTATATATACCGTATATATGTATACCTATATATACACATACGTATGAAAGGAGGCAATTGCCCGGGCAATAGTTAATAAATAGAGTCTTTCACAAAATTAATTACAATTTGTAGCAGCTGATAATGGTGCTTGGAAGTTTATATCAGGTACTGTACGGAGAGCAGACGGATGCAGACAGCAGAGTCTTAGTAAATGAAAAGAGGTGAGCTTTCTTCAGAGGTGATTTGAATGCGGCAAAAAGTCCTCATTGCATTGTCACAAGAAATGGCTATGTTACTTATGGCAATGACGATTGTACATTATATATGTAATAAGTAGGAATATGTAGGAATGGTGACGTATAGGAGGCATACAACTGGAGGAAATAGCACCGGCTAAACGGTTCGTTCTCAACGAGTTCGCCGGGCCACGGCCGACCACGCAGGCCAAGTTGGCCGCGCTCCAGGCGCGCTGGGAGGAGCGCTTCACCGAGGCCATTGACTTTTGGCAACAGGCGGCCGCCGGGCCGAGCCCGGTGGTTGGAGTGTGGCGTCGGTGTTGGACCGGGGCATTGGTTCTTCTCTATATGTTTCTATGTTTCCCTCCATCCTATACAAAATGGGAAGAGGATGGTTTCGTTGTTGAATGGGTCGGAGTGTGGCAATGGGCAAACGTGGGGCAAACATGGGAAAATCTGTTTTACACTAATTACTAGAAGCTTACGAATATTATGGCTATGACTATAGCCTATAGTAAATTAAACCCGCCTTTTTGCTGCTGCTGGCATTCGTTTCCAATGTTCTTGTCGTTCTTATTGCTTTTGTTTTGGTGGTGTGGTGTTTTGCATCCTTCTTGATAGGTGTTTTTGCTCACCTTGTGCAACTCCTTGTGCACTATGAACAATACATTCTATTTATGGTACGGGAGTTGTCGATTGAAATGCTAAAAGGATCTAAAACGAGTCATGCCCGTAATGCAGCAAAAAGGCGAGGGTGTTCACAAGACTGTGGGCACTGGCAGCAATGATGGACCACTCAACGGTTTCAAGCAAAAGAACATAATAAGGTGCCCATCATTTGCACTTTGCATTGTGTCACACCGTGTGTATGATTGCAGATGTATCCTTTTGTTCTCACTGTGGTGCTCCATACCGTTTCACCCAACTATTTCGCCGAACTGCCCATTCGCGTGCGATCGTCTTATCCACTGGTCGTTGAGCCACAGGCATGGTCGACCACCACAGCAGTCGTGAAGGATTGCAACACTCACTGCGTGACTTGGCCGCGAAGGGTGGATGGACCACCCGAGCTTTCGCCCATGTGAGGCATTGAGCACTCGGGGATTGCATTGCTTTGGTCTGTTGGTTTTCTCCAGGTGATTCACTGTGCATTCTGCATTTCTTGGGAAGGGTCGGGGTTTCTTCCACCACTGCTGGGCAGCCATGCATTGGTTCTCACTTCCTTTAGACATCGGGGTGACAATATCCACTATAAAATCTAGGCGGTTATGGTATGGCACAAAACGTTTTATGAGATGGTCCCTTGAGGGGGTCTGAGGGTGATTTTATAGAGAAATCGGTGCTTGATACGTAAAGTCATTGATTGAACACGTCCGTGGATGGCTCAGTTTCAACTGGCTACAAATGTGTGACCAGAAGCATAGCCAGTTGTGAAGCTGGCAATTAGAAACGTAGATGCCAGAAGTACTTGAGAAATTATCAAAAAGGAAAAATGATCTTGCATTGATAGTTCTTTTCTGGTGCCCGAAACGATGCATATAGGATCATATAGGTAAGTTGTGCTAGTTACTAGTAGATGATGTGCCGTATTCAGTGATTCAGTGTCATTGAGTCAAGTTTTGGAGGTCTGGTCTAGTGAAAATATAGGATTTCAGTTTTGGTGGGGTCACACCAAATTATGTCCCTTTGCTGGTGGCTACCATCATTTTTTAGCTATAAAATCAGTGGCAGGACCCCTTGCCCGGTTTTGTCACGGGATCTTTAGACCTTCACCTCCTTGTACCTCACCAAGCTACCAAGTGGCCACGCGCCAGGTGAAACTCAGTGAAGTCCTAGAGGCTTCCTTGGATCAACTTGGACAGAGCAGCGTGGCCACTGGGCGCCTGTTTTTGGGGTGAGATCGGAGTGACAGATAGCCACAAGAGAATCCAAGTACCCAATTTTCGTCAATGCAGATCGCCTACATCAGGGGCCTACTTTTCAGGATTGACCGTGTGTATGTGTGTGTGTGTGTGTCATCTCATGGATCATGGCTCCATCCAGCAAATTGATCGGGTGGCCTTACGGTTGAGGGTTTGTGCCAACGTCACTTTATATTGCACGGTCCATGGAAACTCGCAGATGCAACCCATAGTGGCAGGCATGGGGAGTCAGTGCACTAGATTTGTGCCAGACTCCAAAGGTGGATGCAAAACTGAACAGAATGACGAAATAGTTCCTTTGCAAGTACATGGTTTGTAAGTTCACCCTTTGCGCTTCACACATTGGCCCGTGTTCATGTTCGGGGTATGGATAGACTGGGACTCTTTTTTTCAAGAGGCACCTTCAGTCGGCAGCCTTTTCTCACCAAAAGCCCGTTGAGTTGTCTTGCCTCAGGAGGTTGCCAAGCTGCAGAGTCGCGTGCAGTTGCTCGAGGTGGGCGGCCGATTGATTTCATTCGTGTGACGCGTGCCCACTTGGAAAGGGAAATATAACTGCGGTTGGTCTGCAACACATCCGCCTGCTGGGTTTGTGAGCTCGAAGAGTGGAATAGAGAGAAACACACATGGCCAAACAATTGTTTTGCAAATCTTTACAAAAGACATTTTGTCATATCTCACAGCTTTCCCCCTTGAAAAGCTTCAACCGGCCTCGCTCCGGGCGCTCGGAGAGGAAGCCGCTCATTTGCCCAAAGCGCCAGAAGCAGAGCTCCCACTGGAGATGGCGCAAGAACGGTCGCCGCGGTCACCGCGCAAGTCGCCCAGCGCCACCTGCAGCGGCACCAGTGTGGGGCCCAGTCATGCAGAAAGAACATGATTTCATGTCCTCTTAGTATGTTAGTATATGTACAGTATTGTTATATGTATATTCAATGTATTTCAATGTTATATAATGCACATTGTTTTAAATTTACATCATAATTACGATTGATTACGTCTTCTATCGTTGTGTTGTTTTTTTTTTTCCGGGGAGTGCATCGGGATCACCTAGTAGCTCGAGCAGATACAGCAGGAGCCGATGGTTTTTCATGTTTTTCGTCCAACATTTGGTTTACCTTTTATTTTTCTGTGGAAGGTAGGTGCGCTTGTGTCTCACAGTGTGTGACCCGCTTTACATTTTGAGGAACTTTGTACTTCCTCGATCCCGAATTGCAAACTGAGTATTGGGGCCAAAGTGTCACACCTACCCCGATATCTAATTGACTTAAGCCAACAAAACTGGGGCGAAAGCGGCGCAAGCCAAGGTGAAAGCTTCAAAAAACTCTCAGATGAATTGGCTCAGTTTGCCAACTTTGTCTCAGAACAGTCAATGCGTATGCGGTCTGATTGCAAGCAAGAGACGCCTGGAGAAATTATAGAAATGAGAACTGAATGCTGCATTGTGATGCACACGGTAGTTTCCTGGCGAAGCATGTACCGAGAAACCTACTGCTACCTCCCAATGTTGTTTTGCCCCCTTGTGTCCTTGCTCTGCCCTAGCATGTGGGATTTCGCCTCAGATTCAGAAGAAACAGAATTTGAATGAACAATAACCCAGGAAGGTCAGACCATGTCAGACCATGTTGCTTTGGCACTCACCAAATCTGTCATGTGGTCGCCGCTCAACTGGTCCTCCAGATATTTGACCTACGGCACTATGGCGGTGTGTACTCGGAGCCTACCCTAAACCATTCATAGAATGCAAATGAATAGAATACAATATATATATATGATATGGGTAGACTCTGGGCAGATTTGTTTGCCAGTTTTGGAATCCAGAAGTTTGAACATGAGCTCTCTTTTAGGACAGATTCATGGTCCTTAGTACAATCATGAGCTGGCACTAGTGTTGATGTGCTGATGGAAGTTGCACCACCTAGAGCCACCGAAAACACACTTTCAATACCTGTTGTTTTTTCATGTTCTTTCCTTTCTATACGGTCCCAGTGTTTCAAAAACTGGCCTTGAGATGGCTTCTTTGATGGGATTGACATGGTTTGGGTTGGCTCAGAGGTTCCTTCTTCTCATTGGTTCGTAGCTGCCGTTCACCACCCCCCGAGGTCGCCGAAGTCGGGTGATGCCGCTCGGAGGGTGGCGTTGAGATGGTACGGTCCGCCCTGGGTCAGTTTGTTCGGGGCGTCCAAGACAAAGTGGAGTCGGAAGTTCAAGTCTTTGGATGATTGGCCCGATATATAGCCATGATTTGCTACGAGTCTACGAGAAACTTAACATTTAATAAAGCTAGGTATTAAATGACCTAATTTATAAGTTAGTGGCATGGATGTATTCTGTTTACAGTGCAGCGCATTCCAGTTTATATTGTTGATGCAGTTCACAAAAATTAATTTGCTTTCACCTTTGTGGCCCAACATGAAGTTCAGATCTCACCGACTTGCGAACATTCCGTGAATCGGACTTCTTCGCCGACCCCTGCCGGCGCGCCTCCGAGGTCCAAAGAGACGACCTCGCCCCGGAGGCTTCGCCGCGGACCGCGGCGGGAGCTCTGCCCAGCGTGGACGCCACGGCGCTGGACGTCGGGAGCATGTCGGAGCTGGGCGTCGCCGGAGGGCGGTAGCTGACCCGGTCGCCGGCGCCGGCGCTTCACCCGGCGCGAGCAGCTCTCACATCCGCGCAAGGGAGCGAGGGTTCGGTGACGGCAGAGGTACAACTGGAGGAATCCTGGAGGAACGAATTGAGATGAATTGAATTGAGTAGCTCAGGAGATACGCTGAAGTTGGTAGGTGGAACATGTATGATTGATCTTTTATTGAAGATTTGGCAGCAGATGTCGCAGCATTTGGGGGTCGCTAGAGGATTTGTCGGACACCCTGCCGAACCCGTGCCGCTCGCGCGGTCCGTGAGGACGCGACCAGGCTCCAGTGTAGTGATGATCGGACAATGGATGTGGCCAGTCAGTTTAGCACAGCTCAGAGTTCCGGCAGCAATCGTTTTTCTTGCCTGTTTCATTTGTTTCCTTATAGATCCTTGGGGTCTGGCGATCTCTGTGGCCTGGGCCCAAAGCTCAACCTGCTAAACCTTGCATGGCGTGTACAACAGAGTATCCTGTCATTGAAAGTTGCCTCCCAAGCAAAGTATAAGGTACAGACCTTGCGTTGTTGACCCTTCTCACCGGATACTGCTTGGGGCATCCTTGTTTCTGTGCACCGTAGATCAAGGGGCCGGTCCGAGGGTTCAAAGCATGGCGCCTGGTCAGATCGTGAACTAGCGCCTCTTCGTCCCCATGGCCAATGTGCGAAACGCGGAGCTGTCAAAATGGCCTTTGGTGTTTCTCCCTCACAGATCTATCCATTCACATAGCAGTACATACCTTGGAGTATAGGATGGCTGAAGACCGCCATGCTGTGTGTAGAGGTTTTCCTCAATTAGATATATGCACTATGCTGTGAGGTCCCGTGTTCCCGTCTCTTCTTTAACCAAACTGTCATTCCAGAGATTGATAGCTTCTGACAGGACAGATGATAGATGTCCCAAACACATAAGTTATGAGGACGAAACATGGTCTCGTAACGGACCTTATTGTTTGCCACTCACTCTGTGCCATCCACTCAGTCATGTTGGCGTGACTTCAACAGGCTGTCAATAGAGAGATTCCGAGTGCCCTGCAACCCTCCCCAGCACGTGATTTGCATTTGGAATGGTTTTCTACCGTAGGTCCTAGGTGGGCAGCTAGTTTGTTGGGATATATCCGCACCAGGAGGGTGCTCTGGCCCTTGAACAATCAAACAGTCAAACATCAAACGCTTAATTGCTGATAACCGCCGGAACCTCCAAAGTATGTTTAGATCAGGATGCAGCAGAGTTGATCGCTACATGAACATAAGCTAAGATTTGATGGTCAAACGGTTTGACCCATGATTGTACCGTTGTACCACATGGCAGCTTTACCGGGTTACCACGGATGATGGGTGCGGCAGCACGATCGCAAAGGGCGGCCCAGCGAGACTCGCATCGTTGAGGCCTTTTGGGACTCAGCCTATGTCTCGAGGTCTGGGGATGGGACTGGTGAACTGACAGGTAATGGAGACTCTTGATTATACTTCAACCCCAGGCCTGAAATGGTGGTGTTTTATTAATTAACAGTCTACATCACTGCATGTTGGTTGTTAGACTCAGGTCTTTGACGCTTCATGTTTGGTTTGGTTTGGTTGTTTGTTCCTTGGCTGTCAACCCTACAATAGGTATCTTCAGATCACGAAAGGTAGCTTCAGCTACCTGACAATAATAAAGTTAGATTTTTCCCTTAGGGCTCCAAGTTTGCATATTAATCCCACCCCCCTAAACAATTCGTATTATTCACTTACCCTGGGCTGGTGTACTACCCCCCTTGAAAAATTGTTTGGAGCAATGAAGTCGTTCCGTTGTAATAAGCGTGTTTGAAAACAATTTTGAGGTCATAATTCCATGTATCAAGCAAACCTCAGGAGAGTTAAGTAAGGAAGTTAAAGGGCGAGCAATAGCAGAACAATAGAAAAAAGAAGCAAAGCTTTAAGAAAGACACTGGGTGAAAAAGACTTTTTATTATTCCGTCCCATTTTACTAATTAGGATGCAACATTAATAATTCTATTCATTGGCCCCATCACCACCATCATCATCATCATCATCATCATCATCATCATCATCATCTGAATCATCATCCCTACATATTTCCCTTTGCCAGATGATTGTTTGCCTCTCCCATGATACGTGTTGTCTACCTTTCGTCACCCCTCCGCAAGTTTGAGCAGCAGAGCAGGAAGGAGGACGACCGAAACATATTTGTGTGTTTTGAAGGTTGATTGGATTGTTCTTTATATAATGTGTTCTTTGAGGTTTTGAGCATGGGCTTACGCAGACATTCATATGGACTGCGCTCAAAAAGCCCTACTCAAAATATATAGATAAACGTAAACTTTTAAGGTTGGAGATGTGTTTTTAAGTCTTTGTTTAGAAGCGGGGCCCCCAGCAGACTATGGTGATACAGCAAGGCAGCGCTAGATTGGCGCTAGGTTGGCGCTAGGTTTCTTCATAACAGGATACTATGGCGTCACTGTAAGCAAGCAGAAAAAGAAGAAACAAGCAGAGAGCAGGAAAAAGAACAAGACAAGAAAAAGAAAAACAAAGCAGAAGAAGAATAAGAAGAAACATTTTGCACAAGCACGCAGGAAAAAAAAATCTGACAGGATAAAGAAATCGACGGAGATATTTGCGCTAGGCTGGTGCTAGATCCGCGCTAGCGCCGCGCTAGACGACGGTCCATTTCTTGACCATTCGCCCATCCAACATCCAAATCTTTTGAGTCAGCTCTTACATCCTTCCTATGTCGTCCTGAAGGTTTCTGAGAACAAAAGTGGGAAACAACTGCAGAAGTCCGGCAGCAGCAGTAGCAGCAACAACAGCTCCAGCAGCTCAACAGGCCCCAGGCCCCTGGAAAGGTCTGCGCTAGACACCTCTCACAGTTTTTGCAGTTGACATGCCTTCATGTTTAACATCCCTGTGGTTTGAGTGTGGTTGGAGTTTAAAGGAGATTTAGAAGCGGGCCCCCATGGAATTGCGATGAGTGCACCATTTTGGGAAAAGACATTTTGGAAACCAACCATATGGACATAGTTGGCAGCGGCCAGGCCAATGGAGAAGGGGTGAAGAGCACCAATATCAAGCTCCTTGGGCCAAACTGATATCCAGCCGGCCGAATTTGGCCACGACTGTTCTTTGAGGTTTGGGGGTCTTCTCGGGTCTTTTTCAATCTTTTTCCAATATCCACATGTGTGTTGAGCATGTTTGAGTTTGCAAGGTGGGAGACTTGTCATGTTAGAACACAGCATCCAAACACAATGTGCAATGTTATCACTCTATGTATAGAGGTGGGGTTTACCGCATCGCCTAGTAGTCAACAGACTGTCTCACCAAGACTGTCTAACTAATCCCCGAGTCCTAATCAGTAGGCCATGCTGAAATGTTTGATGGACTTTGTTGCAATATACATAGGTCAGCCCCGATAATAAATATCTCTCACACCCTGCGGCAACCCCTATCGAACAATCATCGATTTGAATCAAGTCTTTTCATTCAATTTTGAATGATTCATAGCTCCCTTGTAGCACATTGCACAGGAGAGCCTTTGCAAATAAAGCTCCGATGAGCCCTGAAGACTCTTCAGGATGTCCTTTTTTGTATATTGATGTGATCTAGTCAGACGGTGGGTCAATGGTATAGAGGCCTTTTTAGACCTTTAGGACCTTTTGAACCCGTCTATATACAGGTATTTCATGTCCGTTTTTGGTGATCTGTGTTTTTGTGACTGCAACGTTGATTGGTGCAGTGCTCAGCGAGCAGCCCAGGTTCCACGAAGGCATCTCCCGAGAAGCCAAATGGAAGAACCATGGCTTGGGGACCCCAAGATGCATGGGATTGAGGCATGGGCACTGACAGTTGGGCTGGCTGATTCTATATATATATTAAATTGATTGGATTAGGGGATGATGGGTGCCTAAATGGCAGTGTCAGGGCTACCAATTACCCAGCACCAACCCCAATTGTTGAGTTTGACGCACCTTTGCAAGTGAAGCTTTGCCAGTCAGTTTGCAGTGAGCTGAGGCCACATGGGAGTGACTTTGTGGATGTTCCTTGACTGATCTCACGGCTTGCGTAGTTGGCTGTGCCCAGCGGTTTTGTCCAACAGTTTTCGACACGGTCAGACCATTGCGGTGGGGAGCTTCCATGTTAGTCACTCCGAGTGTATCCACAATTGGCGTACAGTAACACATCCTTGACCACTAGTGCTCTTTGGCGACGCTGCAGTCCGTGCTGGTCCTTGGGGGGAAGACAACCGAGCAAGCGCCAATTGAACCACACTCAAGAGGACATGAATGAATCGCAGCCGTGCCTGGAGAAGCGGCGAGGCCTCGACTGCGAGAAAGGGTGAATCGGCAAATCCAGTCAGATCAGAATATCAGAATACCAAATCAGAGTGGTCAGGTTGTCACTGGATGGGTCCAAATCAATTGGGTCGAAACTCAGGACTGGATTGTCAGGCAGTGGCAAAAGCACCATCAGTGCAGGGAACCCTAGCTTCAATTGAGCCACCTGGCAGGGAAGCCAACAGTTCTTGAAATCATTGCCATGGAAGTCTTGGAAGAGCGTGATCGCCTTGTTCATCAAAATCTCATGGCCTCCGTTTTAGGTCGTAACGATCCAAGGTCGCCCTGGAACGTGCGCTGGCTGAAAACCAGGCCAAGAGCTACTTCGTGCCAGGGCCCCAATAGCGAGCCGGCCTTGCTGGGACCTTTGAGGTGGTTCGCTTCAAACAAGTCCAGGAGAGGAATCGGTGGCGGTATGGAGCCGCCTTGTCTCGGTGCCCGGCCCAATGGTACTTAAGCTCAACTCCAGACGTCCTACAGCTGGGAAGGTCAGATGCTCACGCAGTGCGAAAATCACTCTGCCCTCCCGCAGCTGGAAGTATATATATATATACATATGAATATGGTGTTATTCATTTGTGCAATGTACATTTGTAAATACACAAAATATATACATACATGCATGGACAGAGAGGAAGTGACACTTACTACATGACACACACACACACATGTAGATAATCATGAACTTATAGGGCAATTAGTTCACGACCCTTCAGAAGCCTTGATCAGATACCGCCTTGATTCTGTCAGGTACCGCCTGGATGGAGACAATCTCCGCTTCGGATTGAACAGGCGACCGATGATCCACCGGGAAAAGTCATGGCGCTGTCATACTTATTATTGTGTCTAATAGCTTCTTGTTACTACTAGTAAGGCACTTGTTACTAGTAGCGATGCACTTGTTCCTAGTAGCTTCTTGTTACTTGTACGATTTCCACACTTAGGAATTTAGGATCACCTAGGCGAACAGCATCTGTGAGGTGTCAGGCCTTGGCAGCTCTATGCAGCTCTGTTCGGAATCTGAATCTTTGGAAAACCGACCAAAAAATGAACACCTTTCTCGTTTCTTGTTTCCCACCCCCATGCAGATGAAATCACCCTCGTTCAGCTTCAGGGACTTGGGCTTCAGCCCACAAGATCGCAAAGAGAATGTCCGACGTGTCTCAGAGGCACGGAGTTCCGTGAGGCAGATAGATTTTTCCATATTTTTCCTGCTCAATTCCAAGTGCCTGAAGGGTTCTTGGATGTTCTTGAGGTCAGTAAGGACATGAAAGCGTTATTCATTGTTGATATTGTCGGTTTGTCAGAGGTACAGCATGTTTGTGTTGAATAGATTTGGTTTTGATAGACGAGTTGACCCCTTGAGATGCAAAAGTGTCACTTCCCTGGGTGTTGGGAAGGTCTCCAAGCTCTTCGCAGAGGCTGGGTGAGACAAAGAGGAATGCAGTGGTGGGCAAGCCAACAATTCAGATGCACTGTCATTTATTGTTTGAACCCTCTAATTTTAATCCAATTGGGGCCTACGCCATGCCCAAGGAACTCATGGAAAGAAAAACAAGATGCAAGATGCTCTTTCAGTTTCTTGGATGTTGGCACAAGTGAGCCAGTGAGCTAAACCCCGAGCCACGCACGGGCAGTGCGCCGTTGGACTGGCGCAAGGGATGCTGATATCTCCCTGGCCCCTTTGGGTGGCCCTTCGTATGTTTGTCAAAGACCAGTCCTTTGCTTTTAATTACACTTAATTCTATTTACTTATTGTATTGTTCCTACTAGCAAACATTGTTCCTAGTAGTAAGGCCCTTGCTCCTGGTAGCGATGCACTTTGCTCCTAGTAGCAGGAAAAAACTCCAAGATGTTCGGCACTTTGAGCGGTCCGCTCATGCTCAAGGGGGTCGGATTGACAATGAGTTTTAGCCAGCTCCCTGTTTTGAAGAAGGTTGTGACTTGTCTACTGACAGTGTTTGAGAAGTGTGTCTTCAAGTTTGTGAGAGAAGCCGCGGGCCGGTTTGCTTGGCAATCTTAGGCAGATATTCGTACTAGACAAAGGACTGCCACTACTCCTACTAACGACGACGACAATGACTACTGCTGCTGCTGCTCCTCATAGTACCACCACCACCGCCACCTCCCATCACCGTTCACGACTACAACTGCGAACCGGAGACTGTATTTCATTTGGGCCTTGTGTTTCCTTACCCTGAAAGGATTTTGAATCTTTGGATCGGTACCAGGTAGATCCCAGGGACGGTCCTTCCAAAAAAGAAACGCCCCCGGCTCTCAGCCAGGCAGGGGCCATCGTCATTGCCGGGCTGATTTCGCCCTATGCAGCGGACCGCGACTATGCCAGGGAGGTGCTGTTGCTAAGGGAGGTGCTTCTGTTGTGAGTCTCGGGCGGTTGATGCTTTTTGGGCGCGCTGCTCGCAATTGTTCCAATGTAAGGACGAGGTGTGTGTATGTTCATACGCATGGACGTCGTATGGGCGAAGACTCATGTGTGGTTTGACTGGATGTAGATGAACAGATAGATCCGGTTTGAGATGGTTGCTGGGACTCAGGTGCACAAAAATGCTTCCCTGCCATTCATGGAAGTCTTCGTGGATGCACCTTTGTCGGCGGTGGAGAGCAGAGATCCTAAGGGCCTTTACAAGAAGCTCGGCTGAAGGGCTCCTGTTTTGCTTGGCGCCACGCAAAAGGGTGCGGTGTTTCAAGTTTTCAGCCGACACGGTACTGTAGGTGCGTTGAAAGCAAGGAAGAAACAACGCAAGCGTCGGACCGGTAGATACATAATAAGGCAATCACAAGCCAAGCAGGCTGGCGCTTGGAACCTATGTACCTTGCCTTTGAATTCGCTTGATAACTTGATAGGTAGCCTGGTTTGATGTTCAGGTCATTTGACAGGAAACCTGCACTCGAAAATCCGGCCTGCCCGCGCCCTCCCCCCAACCCAATACAGTCAATGCATGTCAATACAGCTGACGCCAAGCCAGCCGCCCGAAACCAAACCCTGAAAGTCAAACCCAGAATACCAAACCAAACCCTGCCTTAAACTACAAAAACTAAAGGGACTCGCCCAAAGCGAGGGCATCCAGAGCCAGAGCGATGCAACATTCAAAAAGACTGAAACAACGTCCTGCTAAAGCCTGTGGCCAAGGGAAAGAGGTTTAATCATGGCGAAGCATGGCCAAGAACCGGCATTTTCATGGATGTTCATGTCGTTCCACGTGATGTCCTTGATTTCTAAGGAAAGCCCGCGAGGGGAAGATCAAAGGCTTCACAGGCATTGATGCGCCATACGAGAGGCCGATGCGGGTAGATGACAGAACATGTTCCGAAACGTGGGATGTACCGAAACGCGTGAAACAGAAAAAAACATGAAACACCTTCCACTTCTTATAGCTTATCATCCGTAGCTGCAATGGTCAGAAGGTAGATTGTCAGGATGCAGTTTGGAGCCCCAGGGTGTTTCTTGATGTTCAGAAGCCCTGTTAGACATGTTCGCACCCTGGAGATGGGATCATTTTGTTTTGGGCAATGCTAGGTTCCAGTGTCCTGAAGGAAGCTGCGGTGATTGTCCAGCTTCACGGGAAATAATTAACTTGTTGAACTCAGATTGGCGGAGGCAAGCCGCCTTGGGCCATCAAAACGTATACGCCTATATATATATATATAGGTACCATATAATATATATATCTATATCTATATACTCATTCTAGTAATTACTCATTCTCACCAGGCATGACCGAGAGCCGGTCACTGCAGCATGCTTCTTTCAAACCCCTTTCCATCCCTTTCCTCTCCAACCTCAGTCCTCGTCACCTCCACAGACCGTGGCTGACGTGGCCCAGATGGCAGCTGTGTTCGATGAAATGTCGCCCCCGGGGCTCGCCTCGGACCGCCATGGGGTGCAACAGAGGGAGGTGGATAAGTTCAAGGCTCAGATCCTCCAGGTGCGCGGCTCAGGGCGAAGAGCCGTTTCGTTTTGGGCGGAAACGGGGAGTGCGGTGGTTCTGAAGCAGCGTTCGATGCAGCGAAGGAGTTCGCAGTATTTTTGTGAAGGGAGTGGCCCTTTATGACCTTCATGCGGGACGGGTGCGGCTCCCAATGATGAGGTGAAATTTGGTTTCCGGCATCGTGTGAGAGAAACTCGATGGCACGAGCTCTCTGCAGACGACTTGATGGGTCACCAGTAGATTAGCGTAGCTCGGGTACCTTCTTGCGAGAGCCCAGCGGGGAGCACGTCCACAACCTAGGATGCCAAGCCCCTTGCAGTATTAGAAGAAGTCTATCGACAGAAGACCCGCGCTTGTCTAACAGCAGCTCACTTGGCTTGCAGACTCACAACGACCACCTCGTGGTGAGTTACTCTAACGGAGTATATAACATAACACTGTAAGATTCATTCTGTCGTACTTCGAGCGAAAGAATGGGCACATGAGTTCACACGAGGAAAGACTTTGATCGGCTAGTCTTATTGTAGTAATCCAACAAAGATTGAATAGCGGCACCTCTTTTTTGCACTTCAGGGGCCACTTGCGCCGCGTCAGGATGTAGGCATACGTCTTCAGCAAGCGAAGCAAGAAACTGAACGAAAGGTTTCTGCTGAGTTGACGCTTGGCACTGAGGCGCTAGATGTTGAAGGTCAGAGGGGATGGTGCTTTGTTGCCTTTTTTGTTCTGTGATGTTCTGTGCTTCGGGTGCACAGCGCGGATACAAAGAAGACACGTTTAAAGTTACCCCACCCATTTACAAACTACGCAGACCTGGACCTTCATTTGATACATGGGATCTAAGATCTACATGGTATATAAGCGCAAAATAACCCAACATACGTTGTATCAATCGGAGTGCCTTCTCGCAATTCCTCCTTGCTACCGCCCTGCATATCACCGACAGCATCAAGAAAGGAGTGTTCTTTCTTCTTTGGCCCTACCACGTCCGAAGAAAGCCTTCCAGTAAACGCACGAAAATCACATGACCGAAAGCCCCAACCCTTTGCTGGAACCGTTGGGCATAGGCAAGAGCCCTTTAAAAGCAGGCTCAAAGGCCCAAGGAACACAGCATTTGGGCAAGTTCGAAGGTTCAGGGATTCTGCACCTCATCCTTAGGTCTGCTGGTCCTGTATCAGCATTGCTCCCTTTAGTCCCTTTAGCCTTCTTTTTGACTGGGCAGATTTGGGTGGGTTCTCGTCCAAAATCTGTCAGCACAGTTTTGGGAGCAGTGACGGTCGCAACCTGAAGGCCCTTGAGACCAGTGTGTTCCGTCCTCATTTCTCGAGCTCGGTCGGCTATGGCTCAACAATGGGGCACCCCCAGGAACACAGACAACATGACAACCTGCACCTTCCAGCTTGTCAACAAATCCTGTTACTAGTAGCGATGCCCTTTGTTCCTAGTAGCTTCTTGTTACTACTAGTAAGGCACCTGTTACTACTAGCGTGGCACCTGTTACTACTAGCAATCCATTTGTGTTATGTTTATTCGTTCTTTCGTGCCGAGTGTTGCCCGAGGAAGTACTTGCACGTTGCGATGCAAGAGATGGATCAGCGCTCCTTAGATGCACGTCGTGTTTGGTTTCTTCATTGGGGGTGGACACTATGCAAAAACGGGCGGTCCTACACCGGCCGAATCCAGGACACTGGCCTGCGCAAGACTGATCAAGCTCCTGGCACCCTTTATCGGGTCATTATGTATATAGACGTACTCATGTACAAAAGGGAGGCCCTCCAACCAATGGGTTTTGGATGGTTTTGGTCCATTGTCCCTTCTAGAGAGGCTTTTGTTTGACTTCTTTCCCCAAAAATCAAATCCCTTAACAATTTGTAGCCGGCTCATGCTGGGCCAGTAGGGACGCGAGTTCTTTCACCGACTCTCCTTGTGCAGTGGAAAGACCGGTCTGGAGCCGAAAGACCTCATGCAACTCTTTTGGAGTTGGCCCGGGGATGCCCGGGGGCTGATTTGGAGGTCCAGAATGAGAAAGGAAACAGAACAAGATGCTTTGTTTTTGAAGATTATGTTTTTGCGTTGTGTTTTTAATGTGTTTTGCTAAATGTGTTTGTTTTTTTAATTTGGCCCGGAGGCCTCTAGCCTAGCCGTTGCTTCTTCAGTCAGAACCCTCCAGATTCCTTTTGGGGGCCCAGGCTTGGATAGTTTGAACAAGCGGCTTGAAGATGTACCGATGCTCGGACTGATTTGGCTTCGGGAAGACCCGGGCACTGCAGGGTTAACACAGGAAGGTTGAACTGTTGAACATCCCAAAACGTGGCTTACTGTTCTACTGTATGCAGGTGCGTCAAGACTGAAGAGGGGTCTCTGGGAAAACAGAAGGGGTGGCCATGGGGCCTGGGTTTTTGGTGTTCCATAAATTTCCATAAATATTAGGTAAATGCATCAGTGCCACAATCAAAACCAAAAAAAAACGCTGATAAATATGCATAAAGGATAAAAAACACATAAGAAAAAAAACAACAAAACACCAAAAAACCTTGGGCAAACAAAAAACAACACAATTCTGGGAGACTCTTGGCTGGACCCCCCAAAATCAGAAAAAACAAAAAACAAAAAAAAACTTGGGAACATAAAAAAAACAAACAAACCACAAAAAAACAATTCTCAGAGACTCTTGGCTGGACCCCCTTTTCCTCAAGACTTCCCCAGAATTTGTTTGTTTTTTGTTATTTTGGTTTTCTCAACGTTTTTTTGGTTTTTTGTTTTTTCTGATTTTGGAGGGTCCAGCCAAGAGTCTCTGAGAATTGTTGTTTTTTTTAATGGTTTTCCCAAGGTTTTTGTGTTTTAGCATCTGAGCTTACTTCTCATCTCAAGGCATCTGTTCTTTTTGCTTACATCTGAAACCGTCTCAGCTCAACACTTCCTTTGTCCTTGTCCAAATCTCCATATACAAGTCTGAGTGCATTAACTGCTGACTGGTATCAATGCGGTTGCCACTTGCATTTCCAAACAGCTTGACATGCAGTTGCGAGGACGCTCTATCCTTTACATGAAACGGTTGGAAATCTTTGCAAGCGTAATTCTGTGCTTGTAGCTCAAGCATTTTACATCGTATTCTGGCGAACTTCTAATTTTAATTCCAGTTCCTTTCTAATTCAACTCTCATCTAATTTCAAATAGGCTATAGTTATAGTTCAATACAAGTTTAGTTTAAATTCGGTTTTAATTCAGTTCTATCTTAGCTCTAACTCAAATCCAATTTAATTCTACCTAATTCTATTCTAGCTCTAGTCTATTTAGTTTAAGAAAACACATGCTACAAAACCCTGTGTTTTACAGTATTTCTTGCCCTGGAAGTGCTGGGAACAAGACAAAAACTCTTTTTTGGAGTAAATAGTTAGATTTTTTTGTTGACAGAAGCTTCTAATTCAAGAGCTTCCCTCTAGATCTCTGGGGGTGATCATTTCTACAATAAAACTATATATAAGCTCTCTTTTCAAAAGCTTTCCTTTGGATCTCTGGAAATGGTCATGTCAATTTAAACATGCTATATATCAATAACTAAGTCTTTCTTTCAAGAGCTTTCCTTTCATGAAAACACATATATATATATATATGGGATATCTACTTTCCCAGAGATCCTGAGGAAAGCTTTGAAAATGCAAGCTCTTGCCCGCAGAAATCTAGAAGAAAGCTTTTAACATACAAGGTTTCTATATCGTTGTTTAAATCTAAACATGGTTATCTGCAGAGATCTGTAGAGAATCTTTTATAACACAAAAGCGTCTATATACAATCTTTCCAAATCTAAACATAATTAGAAGCAGAGATCTGGAGGACAATTGTTAAAACAACCACTTTTATGGCCTGCTTTTTTTTCTAATTATTTTGTTCAACACCATCTGAATGACTGATTGCTGCTTCCAAAACAATCAAATTACCCTGACTCAGGAATACATAATATATTTGTTCATATAGAGTGAGAGCAAGAATAGATATGTGTGTTTATATGGAGAGGGGCTGCCACCGAAGCATTTATCTAAAATTTTGGGGAAAACCAAAACCCAGGCCCCATGACCACCCGCTCTCAAAAATACCCCTTTGTGCTGATTGATTACCGTGTATACATCCATTTGCTTACTTGAACCTGCGTTTTGATGGAATGCGATTCAAAGTCAAAGCACACATTCGCATACCGTGGGAGACACTTGCCGCTTCTGTCCAGCACACTAGCATGCAGTGGGTAGAGTCGTGCGCGGCCGAATTGGTGAACGGTGAGTCGTGCGGGGCTGTGCCTTCCAGTGACCTTCCAGGCTGTGATGTGTTTGGGAAACTCTTTTCGGCTGGGTGGGCGACATGCAAGATTTGGGGTTCAGCCTACGGATTCCACCAATGATGCTTCGGGAAACATAGACATTGACATCGACCTACGAACACACCTGGCTCCAATCCGACTATTTTGGGGCAAACCCTCAGCCTTAATTGCATCAACCACCACTTGGAGTTTTAGCCAAAGTTCAAGGAAGTGTTGAGAAAAGCTTGGTGTTCATCCTTTCGTTCGTTGCTGTACCTTGGCACCAGGATGAAAAAGCAAGATGCCTTGGAAGATGCACTCATTGTTCAAGCACTGGCCAAGGTAGAACAGCAATGGGGCACCTTGGCCAGCGAAATCCTGCCAGTTCCGTCGAGCGAAGTGATGTCTGTCTTGAGCTTCCGTGGCGTGGGAGGAAAGATGGGGAAAGCGGGGAGGCGTTCAAGATCACCCACAGTGGCTACAACAGTTGCAAGTTGTTGCAAGACTTGTCCCAACGTCCCAAAATGGTTCCAGAGACGGTCCTTTTTCGAGAGACCATCTCTGGATGTTGGGGTGCCGAAGGATCGGACGAAGACACCACTGTGAATCGCTCGACTGTGAAAGGCAAAGAGTTGGGAAAGTTGAAGACAGAGCTTCACCAAATGATTTATGCGCAACTTAGTTGAGATGTGTGGGCCGGTGTGGGGGGGGGTTGAAGTATGGCAGGCACAAGGCATCTTGTTGCATGATATGATTGAAACAGGGGATGGATATTATATAGGCTCTCTAGACTCTGTGAGGCAACTCGCCAAACAACAAATCACAAGATATGTAAAGCTTGATGCCTTCTCATTCCATGGTCAGCCTGTGCACATTATATTGATGTTGATTCGGCCTAGCGAGGAGACAGGGCTCAGGCGTAGTCGTATTGAAGAGATGATTGGTTTGAACCAGGTGCGTTGTGATTAAAGGTGAGCAACATGGCGGCGCTGACTTGCAGATGCTGTAGGTCCCTCTAATTGGGCCACATAAAGTAGACTTAATGCCATCGGTTGAAAGAACTACTGTACATCGCCTTAAACAATAATTAGGATCATCCAACTATGGCTTCAAGCAGCCTCACTCTCCGGAATGGGCCAGGCACAACCACAACGCCGACCTCATGAAGCACCAGAAAGAGACATGGGCTTCATTCTTGTAACATTTTACAGCATTAATTTTTGAATTACATGAGCATGATATCGACATGATATCACGGAACCGGAGGTAGACCCCCTTTTGCCACCGGGAAGTAGTAGTGCTACTCACCAGCCTGGACGCGCAGGGCTCCGCCGGTTCTCCGCGCGACCTGGGGGCGTTCGAGTTCGCTTTCGTGGCGGCTTTCAGAGCGTTAGTGGTGTCTACCATACGCAAAGCTAAACCCCTTTAGGTTGTGCAAGAAGAACTTACAGGAAGAGTGATCCCGTTGGCCCGTTGGGCGCGTCGAACGCATGTTGGGGGCAGGTTCGGCACAGTGCTCCGAGGAGACCCTGGACAAGATCCGCCAGGAGACCTTTGCGCGCGCGTCGCCAGCTTTGAGGAACACAGCTTTGGTCAAGAGGGCCCTGGCGAAGATCGCAGCTTGGAGAAGATGGACATAGATGGACATGTGGCGCCTCCGGATTGTTGGGCACATCCACCGAAGGTATGGCCTGACCTCTGCATCTCCCAACACACACCTTGAGAACAGAGGACATACTTGTGTAACATGTGACATTTTATGACTCATTGCAATCAATTCTTGGGTGCCACATGTGGATCCCCACACCATGGATTTGGTGGAATGGTTCTTGTGACCCGACCTCGCTGGCCGAGTACGGACCCAACGGATGAACGGTGGGAACGGACTGACCCAGTTTCGCGCCGCCGCTGCTCGTTCGACCTCGCCTCAGTGCATCAAATGAGCAGCGAGATTGAGAGGCCTATTTCAGCCGGCATCGCCCCTATTGCCCTTAGTAAGCCTTACTAAGGCCCTACAAGTAGTGACTACCAGGGTGTCCTGTGATTTTGGACGACAGCAGCCACTGTCCATGCTTCAGGATGAGCATCCTGCGGTGAACGTTCCACACATCGCAGTGGGTCAAATCCTGCGACTCGTTTTTCACCATCAGAGGCTGAGGGTTGCACCTCTTCAGAACCGCACCGCGTGGCCCCGCGTCTTAGGCCGGCATCGAGGAACATTTGAGAAGCTCGCAGGCCATTGCAGAGAGCGCCACAGAAACTGCCACGACTGGTTGGCTCGCCGGTGAGCTCCATGGTGAATGGTCCATTCCCTGTCATACTCAAAAGGAGGAAGGACCCAGAATTGTTAGGCTGTTAGGTCTTGACAGCATATTGTAAATGCAATGACCTACTCGGCCTTTGTCAGATCTTCAGGATTGCTTATTTGTGACATAACGAAGTCTACTAGCTGAGTCTCTCAAATGTCTATATATAATGCTTTGTTGACAAATGCACGCCAATGTTATCTAATTTTGCTATGAAGTCCGAGATGCTTTTGGTTGTTAGTTGTTAACCTTCGTGAAGCCTTGATGTCACCTCTGTCATTTATCAGCCTCGGCCAGGGACTCCTGTTTCTTTGGGACTCTTGTGTGTTTCCAGCTTGGGCGCTTTTTGCGTTCTGAAGTTTTACGGCTGTAGCTAGCAGCTACTTGGAGATATCAAGCGGAGAAAACTGGGAATGCCCCTGGCTTGGAGTGTTTTTTTGACTTTGGCTATTCCCAGTCCACCCATCTTCATTTGTGGTCCAGTTGTGAACAGCCAGAACGGTCTTGAAAACTCAAGTCGAGCCTTGAAACTCAGCATGTTTCTTGGCCGGACCAGATCCTACATCAGAAGATGGAGCCTTTGCTCCCACGACACTGGACAGCATTTGCGGGCTGAAGGGTGAAGAGCCGGAGGATAAATTTATAGAAAAAGACAGATGGAATATATGAATGCAGTGGTGAATGCAGTGCTTAATCATATCATTTATTTATTACCACTATTAGCATCATTAAAATGGCTCATGTTTTTGTGGTAAATAGGCAGGTCCAGTTGGATGTGATATGGTACAATGAAGGTGAACACCGCAATAGTGTCATAGTGCTGCTTGGCAGATGCGGAATTCAGGAAGGCGGCAGCTATTGTTCATAATCCCTCCAAAACAAAACAAACACGCATCGAATGTGTTCCCAGAAAACAATTCGTCACCGACCTGGCCTGATATGTCCTGCATCCATGTTGAAGTTGTCAACCTGCACTGCAATCATGCCCTGGCATTCCTCACCCTCAACAGAGTGGGGCTGACGTCGGCGCATGGGTCGATCATCTAAGGAGTCGCGACCCTTGAGCGGGCGGTGGCGCAGTGGGCCGCACCGTCTGGTGGATATCCCTTTGGCCCCAACCAGGCCCCAACCAGGCGGAAAGCGCGTGATGTGGCGGACGCCGCGTGCTTTTGACGTATGGCGCTGGGGTTGTGGGGCATGCGGTGCTCTCTTGAGAGATGACGTTTGTGGAGTGGATGACTGAATGACTCCATCGACCATCACAGAGCCCCTTTGTGACGCATTTGTAGACCATGGAAAGAAATACTGTAAGGAGAGAGAGAGAGAGAGGGACCTGTTTGCCGCCTTTAGTCGAAACATGTCGAAACCACAGATTGCAAAGAGGCCGCAACAAAATCAAATTGTATTGAATACTGTTGGGTTTCGCTGCTTCAAAAGGTATGAGTCTCAGCGAACACAATGCAAACTTTGCAGAGACAAAGTGGGCGAGCTGCTAACACTGTAGTGAACACTTTAAATCCCGTGGGACTTCGCTGCAAAGTCCTCAAAAGGTCTCAGAGCAAAGTGCCCTCACCGCCCAAGTGTTGCAGAGGACTGGACGTTGTTTTGGCCCTTCTCGTGCTTATGCGCTTATGAACATATGAGTGACATTGAATGACTTTTGGTTAGAGACTTTCCTCGTCAACGTTTGCAGAACTGAAAGGTTCTAAACGTCTTCAAGTATTTAAAGGAGCCCCTTAAGCTTTGCATTTTTGGAGATGTAACGTTGGGTGGGTTTTGGGCAACTTGGAATGCTTCAACATTGCTCGTTTTGCACGTTCATGTTTTCAAATCTTTAAAGTTGCTATACTAGCTGCGACAATTAAACTTACATGTAAAGCCTGATGTTAAAGCATGCGCTTCATTTTTACTTGGGGTATCAGATGTGTGGACCGGCCTAAATATAGACCTAAGTATGAACGTGTAGGTTCTGAACAGTTTGGCAACCTTTTGCTTTTTAGGCATTCAGCTAAGATCAACTCTATTTATGCATCATTTTGGAATCTCCCACGCCAATAGCTTTCCAATCGACTGTGCATGGGTTTTCCCTATTAAGCGCATTTTGCTACTATTCATTCACATCTACCTTTGACCGACCCTGAAACATTACGTCCTAGGTTGCCAAGGTGTAAGTGTGACGGGGACAGGGTGAAACCATTGAACATACACAAGCGGCTTCGGCATCTCAATTTAACATCCAAGTTACTTTGATGCTGAACATTGAGGTAAAATGACTCTGTGATAGTTGCAAAGTTCTTATAGCATTTATGCAATTTTTGCACTCCCTCATTTGCGTACCACAATGGTTTTGCTGAAGATGCGCGATGCTTGGCATATGCCTTTCCCACATCAGGCTTGGTTGACCTGTCCCAAAGCAGTTATTATTGGTCAACCTTCACTGGTTTCCGTAGTGTTTCTTTTCTCGCCACACCCGTCTCAGCACAACGAGGCCTCCTTTGTCGGTGCTGGATCCGCCTTGCTCGGTGCCTGTCCCCCCACCGGACTACGAGGCACAGGTCGAGAGCCCTGAGGAGAGCAGACGGGAGACATGTCACTGACGATGATGGTCGTTCAACCAAAAGTGGTAACCCGACCTGATGTCGCTGGTCATCCTTTTTGGATCTACTTATTGTTGGGGAAACATGTTGGTATTATATACTAATTGCAGCCAGTTACTAATTAGATTGGATTCAGATATTTTTATGGGCCTTTGTGGCAACCTATACGTGGTAAAACTCTTGTGAAGCCGTGTCATACTTGCCTGTAGATGTTTGAAGTGAAACTTGAACATTCAGCAAAACATCTTTTTTGAAATAGCAAGAAGTGTCCATTGGCCACGGCTTTGCGTTAGCAAACCTGTGGTGTGCTGTGTGTGTGTGTGTGTAAGGTTGCGTAGGGTCCATGTGTGTAAGATCTTGCTACCGCAGTGGGAGATGTTTGACATGAAGTAAATGCCATGCCAGTGTAAGGTTTGCAATGTTACTTACCTGGTGTCAGGAAAGCCAGTTGACGAGTAAGCAAGGTGTAAGAAGGAGCAGTAAAAGGTTACTGTGTATATATATATATTATATCTATCTATCTATATATATATATACATCTAATAACAAGTAGTTACATACACACACATATATTTATTATGTGTTATTTATATTTACAGTGGACTTCTGTCATGTTGCATCCATGTCAGGAGGACGATGAGGATGACGAGGAAGATGATGAGGAAGAGGATTCCTTCGGAGAGTTGGGGGCCATCTTGAACAAAGCGAGCGCCGTGTACGACACCAGCAGCCCCGCTGCATTTCACCGGCATCGTTGAGTGGTTGGACATGGGAGAGCGGAAAACCTTGCAATTCGAGCTGCAAGGTTTTAGGGCCGTCCATTTTTTCCTTACATGGTGGCTGAATGTAGAGTTCAACTTCAGAATCTTCAGAGATCTTCGAAGATTTCACCTTCTGCACCAGAGTAGTTCAAACACTTATGTTTCAAACATATTGTTGGCGTTGCACACAGCTGCAGCCATGCCGGAGTTCTTAGGATGAATCAGTTGACGCCAGCCCGGAGTTCTTTGTCTTTCTTTCTGTTTGTTTCCTCTCAGATCCCCAAAGCACATGACCTCAGCAACCACGTCTGCATGAGGTTCATGAATCTGCCGCAGTGCCATGGGCTGTGACAGAGATTGCTTCCGTTTTGCCAGCGCTGTCGTGACCTGAGGAGTTTCATCGTTTCTTCCGTCCAAGTTTTGGCACACAGGTCACAGGACACTTGAATACTCTTTCTGGCACTTTCTGGCGCTTGGAGGGCGCTGTCTTTGAATCCGGTTTGAATCCAAAGAGTCTCAAAGGAGGATTCCTCGAGATTCGACGTTCCGGTGAAATCCTGCGGGCCTATGAGAGAGGTCGAAACACAGCATTGGGATCAGAGAAAATGGGCAGCGAGTGCGTCCTTGCGCGTCCCTTTGGGAAGTGGGTGAGATTGGGTGAGTGAAGTGGTGAATGCATTTTTGTCCCGCATGACAAGTCAATGATCGCACGAAGCATCCCAGCTTCTTGTGCCACGGATGTGTAATCATTAGACGGCCGTAGTGTGGAGGCGGAGAATTCTTATGACTTTTTGCATTCTTTTACCCACAACTCGGTTGGTGTTCTGGCTCAGTTGATTTGCTTGGTGCAGCACTCAACAACCAATCAAGTGAAGCAAATCTTTTGCAGGAAAGCTGGCCCTGTGCTTGGCTACATGGCTACCCGAACCCTTGACACGAAAAGCAGACATCGACGTCAGTCCCCTCGGTCATCTCAGCATCCGCTGACCAAGTGTGCAGGAAAACCCACGTTTGGAGCTGTTGTGCACCAAATCATTGACAGGCCTGAGAAGCCTGAAGTTCATGTACGAACAGATCAGTTGTCTGTGGCTGCTCGGGCATTCCCCGAGAGGGGCGGAGGATGGCGGGGCGAGAAGGGGCCTTTTGTTGCGTTGACGAGGAAAGACGTCGACTATTGATGACTGAGGAAAGACATCGACTCAGTTATTAATTATATACACATATATATATATTTATATATATTTAAAATTTCTTATATTATATCGTATCATTAGGCGAGAACATCTGGGCAAATATCCTCCTGTTTCGTATCAGGCCGGTCTGGACAGATGTCCGCCGTTTTGAGGGCCAGGCCGCGTTTGTCATTGGTTTGAACGCAGGGAGTGCACTTCACACTAGGGTGAAAACCGAATGGAAAAGGCCCACAGACTCCAGGAGATTGAGCAAATGCAGGTGGTGCCACATAGGCAATGGTGTGGCGGTGTGGCCCGCCCCAAGGTCCAGTCTGTGAATGTCATCTTGCAAAAGCTGCGGCCTCAAACTGATCACATTCCGGAATTCATTTCTTTGTGATTACATCAGTTTCGGGACGCTATCCCGCAATGGTTAGAGGGATGCACGTTGCAGGATGAAACAATATTGAGCAAACGTGCCATGACATAATGCATTGGAAGCACTTCACCCCGTGGTCAAGTTAAGTTATGTTATGTACTACTTGTGTGCTGAAATTGAAATGCTTCAAGGAGCGTCCTCTCTTTGCCTCGTTCTCTTTGTTTTTTTGTGTCTCAATCTTTGCAATCATTGCAGGTGACGTCGTTGCAGTTGCCTCCTAGACATTTGTGGACACGAGAAGTGGATGATGAGAACCTGATTTCAGGGGCAGTGGGGAAACTGCTGAGCAAATCTGCAAGAGTCTTGCGCAGCCTCAGCTTGGCTCAGGCTGGACGAGTTCGGGCTGCATTTGCAGCAAAGCTTCAGGCGGACTGACCTATCGGCTCAATGCCGGTGGAGCTCTCGAGACACTCCACATGGAGTCCCAGGTATTTCTCAGTTCGAACGGGATGGGCCATGATGGGTCTTGGGCTGGAGTTGGGAGATCGCTGTGGGGGAAAGAGAAAACCGCAACTAAGCAAGGCTTAAGCAACCAAAAGCCGGGCCTTACGCATCTCTCGCCAGGCCGCTGGAGGAGACGCCCGAGGAATGCGAAGCCATCGCCAAGTGAGAGCTCGGCGCGACAGCTCTGGCCTTGGAGAACAGGAGAACCATTGCGAACTGTGCAGGAGGCACTCTACCTCAAGCACTGGGGTCATAGGACTCATACCGCAGGTAGACCATCATAATAGACCTATCAATGAAACATGTTGCCACGTTTGATTTCTGAATAGCAGACGTCAGGCTGACAGGCACACCTGCGGAGAGTCACGCCCAAGGATCCGCGGTAGTGCTGCTCGAAGCGCTGCGACTTCGCGGCGCGAAGTCGCGAAGCGCCGCTGGTTGGCAACCTTCTCCGAAACCAATCGAAACCTTTGCCCTTCCTGCAGTTGAGCAGCCGAACCTCAAGTGACCTGAAACTGTCAATCTTCACTGTGTGGACCGAGCATCAGTTTGGGCTGTGGGGCCCGTGGGGTTGGTTGTCTCGCGGTGGCAGGCATTTTACAATGGGCTTTGTTGGGAGCCGATGGCACAAAGAGTTGATGTGGTTGTGGAGGGTGCTTTGATCGGACATACGAGGGTTTGTGCCCCCTGGCTTTCAGGTCTGTGTGAACTCCTGAACCTGTCATTTGTTTCTTGAGTACAGTAGTCGATCCTGCTGAGGTTTGTCATTGAATTCAGTGCTTTGCACCTGGGAGATGCGGCAAACAATCATTGATCATGGATGATCATGGTAGGTTTCAAGTTCAAGTCATTTCGTGAGGTTTGAGCGGGCTCAGAGGTGGCAAGGGGATCAGTGACAAATGTCACGTAGCATGCGTAGGCGCAGCGTTGGCATGCGGTGGAGGGCTCAATCGCCTGAGTCAGAGAAATGGAGCCTGTGCCTGTGCCGAATCTCAGCTTGTTGTACGGGTTGGCCTGCGGGGATAGGCTAGAGATTTTGGATGTGAAAATTACTCGGGTGGAACTGCACCCTCATGCAAGAACATGCAGTTTGAGATGCCACCCAGGCACTGCCCTTGATGTTTGATGATGGAGACTGGAGTGATACAGTACATTGTATGATGTATGGCAATCTCATGGATCACGTTTGGAGCAGGGACATGTTGATACATTTTGCAGTAGTTCAACTTGGGTAGGGTGCATTCTGTTGTTTGGGTCCCTTGCGCACACGCACACAGAGTAGAGAAATGGGTAATCCATTGTGCCATTCAGAACCGTGGATGATGTTGTGCCGGAGGCGACAAGCTGCCACCTTGCGAGAGGCCTTGAAGGGCTGAAAAGGGGCGATCAGGCCTTCTGTCGACTAAGTGAGGGATTCTGACCGCTCGATGAACGCTTAGAATAGCTCTCACCACACCTTTGGGAAGGTTAGGACCAAAGTGACGAAACTCCATAGTTCTGCATGGAACAATGATCATCACAGTCATCATGGAACGCTTGCCCTTGAAGCTGTTAGCCAACCACGGCAAATGCATCCCAGAAATCCCTGACTTGATCGAAAACATTCGAAAACGACTGCTCTCATTTCCGCAGCTTAAGTGGAGGCTTGGCTGAATAATATTGTTGGCTCAATTGGAATCATAGAGGGCAGTTGATGGTACACAAGATTACACAAGTCTTTTTCCCTCACTTCACGGTGCACAGTTCACTCATGTTCACTGTCTAAGGATGACGGATGACCGTTGCCACAGATGTTGAACAAGTCATGTTGTCCAAAGGCCGAAAATGCCGTGCTCCGAGCGAGTAGGCAGCAACTCATAGCCGAACCCAGGGCAGACGGGTATTTTGTGGTAGAGCATTATGCCATAAGCACTTACTGTCACTTACTGTATCTGTATGTATGTGTCATGGGCGCTTGATGTACTTACTGCCTCACTGCTAGAACGTACTCCATGCTGGAAGCAGGAGCGCGTGGCCAAGCAGGAGGAGCAGAAGCTCTCACAGCCCGGATGCTAGAGGGTTCACTGGACTTTGGGTTTGGATTGGGTGAAATCAGTCCTACCAGCAGTCCAACAAACATACTGTATATATATATATATATACTGTATATGTATGTACATGTACATTTGTAAAACGACAGTTGATAGGGAGCATGCAGTAGCAGGTTTGTTTCAATATAGGGAGATCCTCACAAATTCATTCACCTGGCAGACAGGAAGTGGATCTGGACTCTCATTTGAGACAGTGACAGAGCGACATGCAGAGTGAAAGCATCTCAAAGTCTTGGGATCCATTCTTGCTTGAGCTCCTGGATGTGTTTCAAGCTCAGCTCCTTTCATTGCTGACCCCCTTCCATGAATCGGCCCCTAATGAAACAAACATATTTTCCATGAGCTTCACGGGCACCGGATCCTCATGGATCCTCGAATGCCTGAGATTTGGGGCTTTCTCGCCTCGCGGCCACGCAGGGCCACGCAGGTTGGCCATTTGCTGTTGGTTTCCAGAGCTAGTTCGTGGCAATTTGGGCATGTAAAGAATATCGACATTGGAATCTGGAGTCCAACATGGTCCAACAGATCTTGTATGAACCACTGAGTGACACTCCTTTGCCGTATTTTTGGGGATACCGGTGATGTCCCGACAGTGACCTGCCTTTTGCGACCGAGGTCCCGAGCAGCCGAGGTGCCGAACACGCGGAGTCACTCCGATGTGGTTTGCAGAAGAGGAAGAGAAGCTCCTTTCAAAGATCCTGATTCACCGATGGTTTCATCAGTTTCATCCATCGAGGTCCTGTACTCCTGGGAATTCTTTGAGAAGTCCCTACATCTCAATGCATGCGATGGATGGTTGCAAGTTGAACATCTGCAACCATGAATGGGGAGCTATTTTTCTCCTGAAACTGGCACAGCCAGGAACATCCGAGGACGAACTTGAAGGTGGTTTGGCAGTGTTGGCTCAGTAAACCCCAAAGTGGCAATTGAAGATCATGTCATGATCAAACCAAATGTAGATCAACAGATGCAACATATAGATGCTGACCACACCCCGCAAGCCAACGGCATTCAACCATTGTATTGAAACATGGGCCGGGCCTGAAATTTAAATCAGATGGATGAGAGCCAGCAGATCCCGGTGGCTCAATGCTGTATGTCAGCCAGCCGGCACAACTTGAGTCACAACTCCCCATGAGTTGTTTCATGTTTTTTTCATCCCAAAGTATGCCCTGAAACATGCGACGTTTCGCTGATTTGTTTCTTGGGAATTCGACAGATCAATTGAACAGAGCAGAGCAGTTTCACGGCCACTGTGCAAATCTTTCACATAGGCCCCGTGTCCAATGGCCCATCGCCCAGCGCCCAGTGAGAGCCATGCCACGCGGGGCTTGCTCGCCGCTGCCCTTGCAGTCACGGCCCTCGCTCGAGCTGCATGGCAAAAGAAATGAAACATAGTGACCACCGTTCCAGGCAAAATAGAGTTTTGTCCCAAGTGCTTTTTTACGACCGATGGATGAAGATGTCAGGAAAGGCCACAATCTCCTGGGAACAGCGCTAGGAACGCCACCGAAATGTTCATGCACTAGAACAAGTATATAATAGTATATATATATATATTATATATACATGTTTTTTGAAGCAGACTTGCTTACCCTCAATGTCCTGTAGCCTCCGGTTGCTTGACTGAGCAGTCAGATGAATGGTCCTCTTTTTTGCATTCTCTTGCAGCAGTTTGGGGCTGTGTCCTGTTGCATTTTGATTCTGCATGCCATGGCAACCCCCGCGGATATGTCATATGGGTTCATAGGCTATTGGCCATCATAGGAAGAATTCTGGTCGACAAGCTGGTTGGTCAGCAGCTGCCCACAAATGAAGGTAGCGTTGGTCTGGTGTTTCTTGCGATTGTGCGACCATTGCACCGGCGAAGATCACGCGAGGCCTGGAAGAACTGACCCAACCACCCGTTGCCTATAGTGCCTGATAGTGCCTGATGTCTTGAGGTGGAAGCCCGGAGTTTGCGAGGACGGTTTGGGGGTCCCCGCCTTCGACAAAGCCTTTGATGATCACTTCATGATCAACTCGGAGCCTAGGACTGATGGACAGTGGCGCCATATCCATTTTTTCGTAGACTCAGTCGTCCGAGCTGGATGCTCGGAGCCCAGGAGTTGATTTCACAGGCGCTGGAAGGAACTGCCAATGACAGCTGCTCCTCTTTTCCCGAGAAGAAAAAGCAACCGCAGGCCAGCGCGCGCGGCCAGCGCGGAAACCATGCGCAATTAGAGCTGGTGCGGGACTCGCTGTGCCCGCTTTCCCTTTTGCTTTGAGAGCTCGAGCGTGTGTGCAATCAGACAGACGGATGGGATGGCGATGATGATCATCAGGGTTAGAAATGGTTAGAATCATAATGATAATATGGGCGGTTATGTAAGGCAATATACCCTCCCTCAAACAAGCATGGAAGCTGAGCAGACCCCCCTTGTAGAGGACAATTGGTCTTCCAGGGGCCTATGTTCCACTTCCATGATTGTTTCAGGGAGTGTAATGCAATGATATATATATATATATCTGTCATTATCTCCCACTCTCTGTATAAACATATATATATATATATAGCGTGTGTAAGTGTTTGAAACCCATTGCCAGCCAACGTTGATGCGTGCAATTGATGCGACTCGCGCTTTTATTTTTGCGGGGGCAATGCCCGAAACGATTGATTAATGTACATCATATCAGATACATACCAGATCTAAAGGCCAAAAAGCGAGAGAGAGAGAGAGAGAGAGAGATGGAGAGAGCACACGCAGTTCTCACATGTAGCCCAACCCCATGCGATGGATCGTGTTGCATCATCTCCCGTCAAATGGCTGTGACTTTGAAAGATTCCGCCCGCTTGGAGGCTTGGGGCATGTCGGTGGGCTTGCTTTGGAAGCTTTGGCTCTACATCCGGGAACCTTGGCGGCTGAAGTACAAAGCAGAGGAATGTCATGGAATGTGTCAAGCAGTTTGTTGTGTTCGGCACTTGTGAAGCTAAGTGTGGAAGTTCTGGAGAGAAACACAACATGACCATGCTAAATGCTGACACTCGCAGCCTTTTTCCCAAAGAGATTTGGCGGTTGTGACCAGGGAGGGTTGCAAGGTGTGCTTCAGTAGCGTGTGTGGTGTGTGTTACTGTAGTTAGTATGCAAGGTCTTGATTGGGCAAGCACCTGAACACATGCCAGAAATACTTGCAGAGTTTGACAGAGTGTTGTTTAGGACAGTGCACATATGTGGAGTGTATAAGTATTGTACAAGTGTATATATATATAACTATATATATACAAAGAGCTGCCCTTTATTGTTGCTTTTTTTCTTGCCACCGGCGCCAAAAGAAGCCATGCTGCCTCAAAAAGCTAAAGGAGATAGAGAGAACTGTAACAAGAGGATTTCTGTGGAATGGTCGTGTTAGCGCTCAACGCCAGCGAAGACCATCCCCAAACGCTACGGACTTGCAGTGATTGTCAGCCTGTGAAGGAAGACCTCTTGGGGTATGCCGCTGCACATCGAACTGATGGTAAGACTGATGGCAAGCGCAGACACAAATGTGGCTGGGGCAGGAACTGTAAGTGCGAAGGCCCTTCGAGGTTTAATGGAACATATGTTTATGGGTGGGTTTCCTATGTTTTTGTTCTCAAGCATTTGCCTGGGATGATTTGCTTTGATACGAGTATGCTGAACCGGTGTAACAGCACAACACATGTGGGCTTGGATGCTGCATGTTCACAATAGATTAGTGCAAGAGATTTGCTCAATTGGTCCGACCATCCAGCTGTCACATAGGGAGCCATGACACAAAGTATTGGACGGATGGAGGGTTGATTGTACCTGTCTGTATACCGTCACCCAATTCTTCCACCTTCATCATTTAGGTGGCAATTTTTTGGTCACGTCATTTCCTGCGACTGTTCGAGGTCATCAAATCTAATTAGTCTAGGTGTTTCTCCAAAGTCGGGTGGCTGACTCTCAACGATCCCCGAAACCCAGCAGCGCAATGGTGCAATGGTGCTGAGACAGAGCTTGGATCTGAGTTGGTTTGACAACTCTCGGAGCTTGGACAAATCTGGTTTGTTCCGTTTTTCTTGGTACGTATTTTTTGAACTAGGGGAGGATTTCCCTATATATATATGCCTTGTTTGGATGGTCGTTTTGATGGAAAAGCCACTCAGATCCTGCGTTCTTCTTCAGGCCTCGTCGATCCGTGCTTGTGGACGCACTGGGCGGATGACGTTCAACCCACCTCCAGTGGGGCTGCCTCCAGCGACGGGTGCGAGAGGATGAGGGGAGACATGCACTTGGTGGTGCAACGCCACCAAGATGAAGATGGCCTGGGAGGGAATGTGGGAGGGATTCAACTTCCGAAAGCGCATGCGCGGGCTGCTCATGCTGGGATGAGCCTCGGAACGAATCGATCATATATATATATATATATGGCAGAACTTTTCACAGCAGAGCGGACCTTTCGCGGGGTATTTGGCGTCTTCTTGTGCGGATAGGTTTTTGTTCTCCCAACTCCTCCGGACATTTCCAGAACCAAAGAAAGACCACACGTGAGGCTACGTCCTACCCTGGACCAAGACCTTTGACGCTGGCTTGGCCTTGGTTTTGAAGCTTGGCGTTTTGGATGAGGATGATGTTGTTATGTTGCTGTCAATGGCCGTTTTCTGAGGCTAGACCTTTGGTGATAGAGTCCCCCTGAGGTTTGCGAATCTGCTGTTTCAAGCTCAGGAACGCCGGAGGAATAGCCTGGTCGAGACGCTTGTCATCCGACAGAAGTCATTTTGAAGTTTGCCACCAGATCATCTCTAGCTTGGACACGTTTGTTTCAAAGAGCATTTTGTTGTCATAAAGCAAGAGGGGATCCCGTCAAGGGATTGATGCCCTTTCAGTGGTTGGTGGCCATTGAACACCTTGCAGTCAGTTGTGAAGGAATCTGGCACTTGGAGCTGTGCGCCAAAACTTAGCATACATACTCGTAGTAGCGAATGCCATGCGAGATTTGCCACAATCAGCTTGTCATATTTAGTGTCGTGTTATTGTACCTCAACCCCCCCGAAATCCACAACCTTAATTAATCTGTTTGTGTAATAATCTGAAAACCTCAACCCCGGACAAAAGGAATGGTGGGGGATACGTGTTGGTCGGGTCATTTATTCAGAAGAGCCTTCGAGCACGGATCGCACACAAAAGCCTCTTAGGAAGACGATGCTAGTGATGTGGCAGTTGCTCCATGTATGGCAGGTTTCCTACATTAGGGTGGTTTCAGCCTTTAATCTGGATCAATATTTCATGGAGTGTTTGGTGGTTTTTGGGGCGGGAAAATGGTCAGCCAATTGTTCCCTTTTGACTGCGGATCTTGGTGCCGTCCCGGTGCCCCTTGGGGGGCGCTTTTGGTCCAGTCCGAGACTTCGGTCTCCACCCGGAACCCGGTCGTTCGGAACGACCAGGTCGTTCGTTCCGACCTGTGAGGAAAGTCGGCCGACTTGTTCTGCATGGCGAGCACTTTTGTTTCGCACAGCTGGGCCGAAGCCTTTGAAGATTTCGCGCTCACCTTGCATCGACTCCTGGATGAAGAGGCGACCGCCCGGATGTTGTGACGGTGACGGGTCCACGGGGGAAGGCTGTTTGGGAAGGCCGAGCCATGGAAGGCCCACCAATTAAGGCCAGGAATTCGCAGAATTGCTGTAATTAGGCCAACATTAGCGTCCATCTTGGGGCAGTTCCAAAATTGCATCCCTTCTCAAGCTTCGTTGATGAACTTCGTTTGGGGGAAGTCGCACGGCAGATTGGTAGCACAGAACTTGGGCCTGTTTGCCTTTGCAGGCCGTGGTTTGGATTTGCAGCTTTGCTTTGCTCCTTGGATTTGAAACAATGGAGCACTTTTGCATTGGAGCATATTGGAGGATATTGGAGTGCCTTTGTTCTCGATCCCAGGCAGCCCCACCCCAGTTTTGACATGTTTTAAAATAGCATGTTTTATTATGTTTTATTTGTTTTTTTCTTCTTGTCTTAGGGATGACTGACGCGTTGGGCGGAATGAGTCGGGAATTTGAACAGCTGTGGAGTCTGTGGAGGCTTTCACGCATAGAATCGCGGTTGTAACATTTTGTATACAAGCCATTATCGTTTACCTTGTCCGCTCTCGTCAGCTCTAAAGTCGGTTTGTGTTTAGCGTGTGTGGTTCAAGGCTACTTGTCTCTCAAAGAATGGTCTGACCGGAGCACACCCGGCCTTTCGAAATTCGTTCCATTTCAGACATGGAGACGTCGCCTTAGGTGGCAGCATGGAGACATCTCAGCCAGTGCGGGGCCTTGGCGAAGCGATGCGACGCCCGGAAGCGAAGATCCAGATGGATCCAGATGGATCCGATGCACCCAACGGAATCCACTGGTAGTGGAGAACTTACAAAAACAGTGGCCCAAGGAATTACGTCTACTACTGCGCACACGATGTGGCTTGAGGGTCAACCCACTTCCTGTGTGTCACTTGAAATACTTCTTTGCGGCAGAAGCTCAGTTGACTGAGAAACAAATCATTTGGGATGGCCAAGCCTTCACGATCACAACCTGACCACCCAAATGATTAGGTGACTGCCTGACCAGCCTGACCACCCAAATGACGAACATGCATCAAACATCATCAAACAATGTCTACAGTCTCCAGCTTCCACAACTTGTGGGAGGCTCATGGACCGTCCTTGACAGCTGCTGGACCCTAATACAAAGGGGTTTGAGGTCTCAAATCCATAGTCCTTGAGGTTTTGAACGATTGTTCGGATTGTGTATTGCTATGATTGATAGACCTCTCCCTTCTGCACCTTTTGCAGCTTTTGAGGTTTGTCCTCCTTGGATAGATGTCCTTTCGCCATCGGCATGCGTGCCGCGCGACGGGTTCTGGTGCTCACGGAACCTCGGTGGCACCGGCGGTGGTCCCCCCAATCCGACTCGTCGTTTTGACCATCATCTCAAAAAGATCCAAAAGTCTCAAAAGGAACCCGCCAAAAATCAGACTTGTTTCAAGGGGCCGATTCTCGTTCTGCTGCTTTGGAGGATCACAGTGCAGATACCTTGGAACGCTGCTGGGTGGTCTTCGAGGCAGCCTTGGCACATGAGCTGGGGAAGGAGATGGGATGGGACATCGCGTTTTTGGGGGGTTCATGGTGTCCATGTTTGGTTCTTGGTCACCTTCACCAGGTGAATGTGCAGCATTTAGCCAACTGAAGTGGTTTTCGGCGTGCCATGACCGGGGTGGCATTGCGGTCAGAAGGCCCAACCGGGTTTTCGTCAAAGTGCTCTTATCAGATCTTATCAGTACTTCTTTAGGAGTCTCCCTACTCTAATGCGCACCATGACTATGTCCTGATTCCAACAGCTGTTCTGTGCTGGCCGAGTTCAACCAGCACGGCTGCGCGTTGGTCGACGCGTGCGCAGGACTACAACATTTGCTTACCCGATGACGGGGACGCCGCCTCCTGGCGCATCGTAGGCCATAAACTCGAGCAGCTGGACGTGGAGGCGAGGACGCAGAGGACGTGCGGATGCGGAGGTCGAACTTTGCCAACCAGGCTTGAAGGAGTTTACATAATAAGTACTGCAACATACTGCCACTGAGTTCCCCAAGGGTCAATGTTAACATTGGTTTTCGTGCTTGCAAGTGCATCTAATAGGTTGTTGTTAGGCGTTCCAGGTTAACAATCCTGAAATTCAATGTACAGTAGCTGACCATTGCCATGATGTGGTCATTTGAACTCCTTTGTGGTCATTCCCTTGCAATATCTTGCAATAGACCGCGTCCTTTTTGGTCGCATTCGTTTATTCCATTTTTGGAGTGGAAGATGCCGGTGTTTTGTAGAGCGATCAGGCCTGCAGGGCATCCAACAAGCGGGACAAAGAGGAGATTTTGAGCTCCACGGATGGTGAGACAGTCCAGTGGAATTCCGGACGAACCAGCTGAGACAATCAGCGATACCATTGGGAGATGGGGAGATGACCCAACCAAACCAGCTATTGGCTATGGGTTCTTTATTTGGGTTTTACATGGGGTGCAACTGAGCAATGCTTGGGGGTGGATTCATTGTACCAATCCAGGGCTCTCATTTGGTCTAGTATGCCAACATATCATCACAGTCAAGAATTGGATGAAGACAAAGCCTCAGCAAAAACGGTGCTCGTGACTTCTGCATTGTCCATATCACATTCCCATAACTTCCAAGGACTTGAACATCAATTATGGAAGTCATCCCTCCACCACCGCCTTTGGAGGCACTTGTGCCCAAGGGCGCGCTTTGCCAAGGCTTCATCCGAAAGCAGAAGGGCGGCATTTTCGCGTTGAACAGTGCCTTGGGCAGATCTTAGGGCACCGGACTCGGATTCAAGAGTGGTCCGGGAGTCCGTTGCTAATTTTAAGAGACATGTGACTGCCATTTCTTGGTAGGAAAACACATTCAACTCCGAAAGCAGTCCAACGTTGCATCATCTCAGGTCTAAAAGTTGATTCGTCCCAAGTCCAGGTCCGTTTTGTCTGGGACACAGGGCTCACCAGAACAGAACATCGCAACCATGCATGGAGGTTCTTGCACGTCCCTTTCGGCTGAAACAAGCCCCGTTGACCAAACAGCACACACCTGCAGATCCAAAGATTTCTTTTTTGTCGGATTGCCTTTCTGGAAACTGGCCCTCACACGAGCTGTTTTTGAATACTGCACCTTGTGCTGAGGCAACGTGCGCATGCTGGCTCGGCAAGCAATGGAAAGGTCAGAGCTGATGGCTGCCGCAGTAGCAGGCGCTGACCAAGCCCCAGCACATCCAGCCACCACAGTGGTTGCAGAGTCTATTCATGTTGAACAGATTCAATACCAAAGCCAGTGAGCGGTTCTGCGGGGCTGTTTGGTTTGCCAAGGGCTGTCTAGTTGAACCATGTTGCATGACCATTTGAACATGAAGAAGTGGTTGGGCGCCCAATCGCTGGTCTATAAGTTCCAAAACTTGGACTCCAGTTCGATATTAGTTCGAGTTTGTTTGAGAAACGTGAGACTTAGAAATACTTGGAATCCTTGGGCACTCCAGTATGCAAGGAGACCCATAGGATCCCATAGGTATTTTGCTAGGCATCGTGGGAATGTATTCCATGGTCTTCCCAAAAGCCTTCGCCCCGGTCTCCTGGGCCACGAGGTGACCTAGGACGCATCGACCGCGCGACTGACGAAGAGCTCTTGACTTGGCGAAACATCCGGGGACGCACAGTGACCCATGTGGCAGCAGCCTGCTCCCAGGCCACTGATAGAGTGTCACAGATACGGAGATAGATAGAGGATCATTGATAGAGCGAAAGACCGTAAGACGGCCGTAAGACGCTAGCTGCTAGACATGATTTGAGGATATTTGAGGTGAAAAAAGCTTGGAAAGTGGACCTGGCACGCGGTTTCTGACGCTGGTTAGCCAGTTGGGACCATGTGTGCTGAGAGGACACTGATGCCTTGACTCTTGTTATCAAGAACTGACCTCATTGCGGATTAGAACAAAAAGGATGGTGGAAGATCCAAACTTATGATACATTCTAAACAAGAAGATTGCAAGAAGATTCGCACAAACAATGCTAAGACCAAGTCAGGTCTGTAAAATGGCTCCTGACGTGTGTTCAATGAAACAAGCTCAGAGCTGCACCCCTTCTTAGGTCCACTGTCCCAGCTACTCGAGCCGTTCACGCCCAGCCGATCTGTCGTTTCCACCACCGTCCGGAGCGGCGTGGAAAAAGGTGGCCGCCTTGGTGAAGGTCCTGGAGCGAACAAAGTTTGCTCATCTCAACTCGTTGGATGAGGATCGGCCGTTGGACTCGTTGAATGCGTGATTTTTCCATGGTGGAAAGGAATGTCATATGGTGCGATGGATTGGGCACGGATTGCGGTTCTACCCTGAGGTGGAGGATGATTTGAGATTGGGCATGTTCATTCGAGCATATTGTACCGACATGGAGAACCAATGCGTTCGCAATAATTACTTCTTGCTGGACTGGGACATTTGCAAGTGTAGTGAGCAATGGGCTGCTTTGCCCTCGCTCGAGAATTCAATCATTGGGTGACCAAGGATGCCAGGTGCGATCGACTGTGAAACATTCACGATGGTTCGGAGTGACAGAAACACCCATCATCACCCATCCCATCCCAACAAAAGCTTGGCCCAGACATCACCAAACCAGCCGACCAGCCGAAACGAAGGTCCAGAAGAGGTTGGGGCTGGATGCGGGTTCATAGCTTCGTTGGCATGGGCATTCGTGGGGAAAGGTTCCTAAAGCTATGAAGCCAAGGCTTTAGGAACAAGTTCCATTCCATTACTGTTCACGTAGCTTAAGTTCCAAAAGTCCTGACTGAAAGTTCCGCTATGGCTTGTTCACATTGTTCAGTCATAGGTGGCCTTTTACCACTGGTTGGTTGATTAATGGAGTGGACACCAGGGGAACCCTGAAGTGAACATCTTATAGGTACGTGGTACCAAATCGACCCCTCTATTGTTCCCAACAGAACATTGGTTTCACTTTCCATTTTTCCTCGGCTATGGCAGATGTGTTTCTTTCGGAGATCCCGACTCCATTCGGTCGCCTGTTGCTCTCCAGGACTCCCGCTCCCCGCTTGGGGTGGCGGTCGAAAGTAGTCAAGTTGCCTTTCAGCTGCAAGTCGTTCGCGTGTATTTTGGGCGAACGCGAAGACCAAGAACGGAATTGGAATGTCATGGAAAGTCACTTCCTGGCTCAGGTTCCCGCTGCCATGTTGTGATGATATTCCTTGATGCACACAACTCGGTGAGAATGGCATGAGATGGGTGGCAGGTGACATATTTTCTCTCTTGAAGTCTTGCATTTAGCATGCATTAACTATTAATATTGGTTGCTCCTAAACAGCTTTCAATGGACAGATCCATGTTGACAGACATTTCAATGACAGACCTTTCAATGTTCAGTGTTTCTGATGGTCCAGATCCAGATCCATGTTGCTAACCTTTGCAGAATTGGTTTGGCAATGGCAATGTTTGCCCCGAATGTTTCTTCACAGATCCTGTCTAATGAGTTGCAACTTAGCCGCAAAGACTTCGCAGGGATTCTTTTTGGAGCCTTGTGCAATCAGGTGATGAAAACATCTAACGGGACATGAGCCACCCCATTGCTTCTGCAACCTGGACACGGAGCAGCATGCTAAGTCTGCTAAGTTTCCCGAATCCTCGATCCAAGTCACGAACACAGGACGGGCAGGAAGTGGCAGTTGGGTTTCCTTTCCAAAACACTTGAACCCGCAAACTCTGGCGGTGTTGTGATCCTTCCAGAGTACGAGCGAGCGCCAGTGATGCCACACAGCGCCCCCAATGACCAATCACACTCCAGGAGGGGTTGGACAAGCCACTGTGCAATTGCTGCCTTTATTTAAAAAGGAACCCATGAAGGTTTCAGTTAAAAGCATTTAACTGCTTTATTAATCAGGGCTGGGGCCAAGAGGATTCCCTTTCGGCTTCACCGTTGGCGCCAAGGCCTCAGTCTTGGCCCTGCTCGCCCTACGCGCGGACATTGAGCTGCGCAAGAGCGACGCGGGCCACACGGCGCTGCACTTGGCGGCGATGCATGGGAATCCGGACATCACCCAGGCGGTGGAGTGTGGTGCATCGTCATGTGCTGGTGGAGTGTGCCCATGGGGAGCTGCGGAGTCCGGAATCCATTGTTGGAGTTTTTTTGGGGTTTGCAGAACCAAGACTCAGAGGGCTCTTCTGTTAGTTCGTTGATGTTTTAAGTTTATGTTTTGTTTCGGAAGGGCCAAAACCCCACTCCTCCCCAACTCGGGGGCTGAAGGCCCTGGTGGACATGAAGGGTGACTTCGAGGCCGAGACCATCTACAATGGCCGAATGGGATACCGACCCATCACGATCGCTTGCAACGAGGGATGCCTGGAAGAAATGCACGAGGGGTCCTGGACGGATTCCGTGAACGAACGCGGTGCGGATTTGACAAGTGGCGTGTCCATCGCTCTTAGGTTGGAGGCCATGGCGCTATTTGGTTGGAGGCCATCGCTAGTAGCCCTTTTGACTTGGATGGCAAAGCTAACGGCGATTGGGGTCGGTGGGGTCGATGTGCAGGTCACCTGGTTTCACTTGGTTTCCAGGTTGTGACCTCACTTACTGAGGGCCAAAACCATGTGCCAGAGAGAGAGAGAGAGAGAGATGTGCACAGCACATCGGCAAACTTGCAAGACGTTGACCGAGGAAATGTGAAGATTGTAAGGTTGCTGGTGGACAGCAGAGCCAACATGCTCGCAAGGACATGGAAGAATATGCAGATGATGCACTCTTGAAGCTTCAATCCTACCTGAGAATGTGGCTTAATGCAAACCGAACATTGTTGCAGTCAACACTTATTTAAAATCTGTTTGATCGTTCGTGCTGACTAGTGTCTCGGTCCGTTTTGTTTTAATCTTATGGTATAAATGACGGGCTGGGATTCTTCCTCTATTTTCCTCTATATAGTGTTCATATGTGTTCATGCATGTTGTTGCCACCAAATATTGCAGCGAATCTCCTCGAACTTGTGTGTTCCATGGATTAATATGGATTCCATGGTGCTGCAGAACCCCCTTGGACGCAACTCTCTCTCTCTCTCTCTTAGTTAGGTTGGTTGGAGGCCATGGCTACTAAGGTGGGAGGCCATTGCTTCGCTAGTATTGGGGGCCATCGATAATTAGGTTGGCCTTTTTCTCTCTTCTCTTTGCTCTCTCCCGTCCCTGCTCTTGACCGTTCTGCTGAAGGACCTCCACAGGCGCTGCGGCGCTACACGTGGCAGCCTGGACGGGCCACTCAGAAGCGGCAGCGGTGCTGCTGGCACGGAAGGCGGATGTGAACATCACCACCAAGGAGTGGTGAGAAGCTCGGATGTTGTGGATGCTTGTGGCATGTTGTAGTGCTGTTTGTTTTTCATGTGTGATATGTGATGGTATGCTTACCTCAGCTGGTCCTGATTTTCAGTTGGCCTTTTTGGCCAGATGATGTCCTGGTGGCACGGTGAGGAAGATTGTTTTGGGGATAATTTTGTTCTTGAGGAACCCCGCCACGTCACCACATATATGTTCACCATACTTTTGTTATGGGTTGACTCAGGCCACACATATGCAAAAAAGATAACATGTACTTCCAGCACATTGACATGGAAGTCATGGCTTTACAGCATCCAATTTCCGCTACGACGGGGGGCACAGCCTGGGATTGCGTTTGATCGCCAGGACGTGTTTCAGCGGACGCCTTTGTCTTTGGCTTTGATGAATGGACATTCTGCCACCGTGGGCCTGCTTCTAGGAGCCAAGGCGCCTAAGCACCCAAAGTACGTCACCGGAGGACGTGGCCAGAGAAGAACCGTTGGCCCATGTACACCAATTTTGGGGCCGACAACAAGTGGTGCATGGAATGCAGACTCAATGATAGCGACAGCGAAGAAGAGTGTGGACTGTGCGGAGGTGCCCAAAGCAGACCCCGAGATGTTGTAATGTTTTATCATGTTTCATGTGCCGATGGGCCAACTTTGGACTGACATTGGAGTTGTTCTTTAATGAGGAGACCCGCGGGACTCAAGCAGAACCTTGAGCGGCAAAGACACATCGAATAAAACATAACTACTGCTGCATACGGGGAAGCAACACGAAGCAACAAGTACGTACACAAAAGGAACAAAACATGTGACAAAACAAAAGGTCACCAAGGTTTGAGCATATTTGTGTTCTGCATCGTTCTGCTAAAAGTTAGCATCATTTGCGTGTTCTTTTTGTGTGCCTTACTTCCATTCTGGACTGTGACTCTTCCTTTCTGGGGATGGTCTTCAAAGCAGAATGCCCTCTTACACTTACAGCACTTTGCTTTCCAATCATATTCTGGAGAATGAGATTCTTGATCCAGAGTCAGCGTTTTGTTTCTCTAGATTGTCACCATGCCGATTGTTTTTCCTGTTTGTTTCTGGCCTAATGTGCCACCAAATGCCAAGACTTGCTGCATGACTTATGCAAAGCAAACGACCAAAACAGAACCCCCGGCTCGATCGGATTGGACTCCTTCACGTCACTACTGTCACTACTTGTCGGTTCTTGCATGTTGCGATCTTCTCAGGCTGATGTGTCGCCGGGCGAGGAAGCGTCCGACCAGGACCTCGCTAAGTCCTCGGATGTGGTGTTGTTTTTGCGTCACTTGCTCTGACAACACCTAATAGCGATGGCCTCCAACCTAGAAGCGATGCCAACGTTAATTGATGGATATGAAGTCTTGAAGCTAGATGTTTGATGGACTCCGCCTCGTAAATTGCTGTGTGTGTCCGCCCCGCGGCAGGATTTGCACACCCCGCGCACCCCGGCGACGCACCGTAGCCGGTCCAGCCGACGACGAATGAAGAAATACACCCGCAAGGAGCGACGTATAGAGTTTGAGAGGGCTGAGGAGGTGAAGATCATGTCCTCCTAGCAAAAGCGTGAACCGCGACTAGTAGCTAGAAGCTACTACTAACAAGGGCATCGCTACTAGTAACAAGGGCATTCTACTAGTAGCTTCTTTCTACTACTACACAAACCTACAAAGTGTAATAACAAAATAGTTTTGTCAGGCTCCCATCAAGGTTGTTGGAGCCTCATGTAGTACAAGCATTGGTGATTTTAGATGTGATGAACAGGTTGATTCCAGAAATCAAGTTAGGAAAGACCTCAATGTCAGCTGTGTTGCACATCACTGGAGACACACAGAGCTCCGCCGGTCCCTGACTTTCTGAACTAGGCCCTCATGAGTCAATTAGCTTGCAAAACGGAGGAAAGATAGGAAAGGCTGTGCATCTCGGCCCCAACATGCCATCTCTCTTCGCATCTCGGCCGTGCGTACTGCACTCGGGGATCCATCCACTTCAGGAGTCACGCCATGAAGCGCAGATGCTGGTGCTGAAACATGAGTCCTCTGGAAGTCTGCACCCTTCACAGCCCCGGGGCCTTGGAAGTTGGAGCCGAGCCGTGTGGGAAAAGGGGTCATCCGAGATGGCCGAATGGTGCGATTGTTTGTTTTGAAAAAGGGAGAACGGCGGGGTGTGTGTGTGTGTGTGACCGGATTGTAATTGTGTGGTTCAACCTAATTTGATCTAATTTGCCTAGCTCCACAACAGTTGGGCGTCACACCTCAAGATGCGAAGTGGTTCCTTTTTGGAGCCGGCAGCGACTCAGCAGAGGTCTGAGAATGCTTCGCGGAAAGCCTCGCACGACTCGGAGTCTCAGCATTCCAACGTGAGTCGGAAAAGCCACGTGACCTTTGAGGCCTCAGGAAACGGTGGAAACGACGATGGACACGATGGGAGCTGGTTTTCAGGGTCTTAAAACAGAAGATACTTGAAGACCCTCATCGAATTGACTCACAATCTATATATAATATTGGGTGGTCCAGGGGTGTCCTCAAGGATATGCTATGTCTATGTGTATGTATTACTATGTAATGTATTCAATAAACTAGTGCCAGGATACCACAAGATGCAAAAGACCCGTTTCACCGAGTAGACAGTACAAATTCACTTTTCTCCGTGCGCTTGGTAAGATTAGGTAACATTTCATGGCGAACAAGCCTGAGCTATCCTGGCTAGCTGAATTTCAGGAAGCCTTCTGTCAACAGTCAAGAGCAGCCTTGCGAACACATTTCATTCATGGTCAGAGTATGTAAGTTATTACTGTACCAAACCTCTAAATGGGTGCTGTTTTGAGTAGGGCCTGCAGTGTCCAGCCTCTGTGTTTTCCACAGAGGCCCCGGTTAAAAAGCTGATCCTGCGATTTCTTGCAAAAGTTCGGACATATATTACATATATTTTCCGATTCTATTTATTAAATATAGGTAAAAGGCAAAACCCTGTCCAAATATTGATTCCCAATTGGTGTGAAATGCATAGCTGTGGTAACACCAGCGCGGACCTTTCCAGTCTTTGACAGAAGGATGGAGCCAGCGTGGAGCTAGTGCGCTGTTCTAGCTGTAAATGGGGTGCGGGAACCAAAATACAGTACAAAAGGAAGAGCTGGTGTTAGAATCTCCTAGTAACTAGTACGGGATGCACGCGGTCTTACATTGGTGCTGAGTGAGCACCATGCTACATCAGCGTGCGCACTGCGATTGTAGCACAAAGAGGTTGTAAAAAGGCATTGGACACCAGACTTTGTGCTACCGCGAAGCTAGCTCCACCCGGCGGTTCCAGTCAATTTCCACTGACCACCCACACGTGTAACGTGCTGGACCAAGAGCCCACCGCCGTTGCCCCCGACCTCCACAATGCATGATGTGCTGCCATAGATGCGATGTGCTTTGCAAAATATGTTTCTAACATCAGGTCGCGATGAATTCGACGATGGTTGTTTTCATGCCGTTTTGGACTGTATCGAACTATTTGTTCCCTTGATAGCTGCCTTGTAGTTCAATAACTGTTCACAGCCTACTGTACAACACGTTCCTTGGACAACGCGGGTGTAAAACAACACAACCCCCTGACCACACGGAGGGTATGCGCTAGTTTGGTTAGAAGGAACAGCTTTCTTAGCCTATTGCAACAAAACATTATAAGTGTCACGCATCTGGTGTTGAATGCATGTCGGTTAATTCAACGCAAAAAGCTTCATGCCGCAGAATGGTTGATTCGGACGGCTTTGCTGTTGGGGATGCTTTGCCACAACTTATGTCGTGGTGGCTCAAAAACCCACCCGCGACCTTGCCAGGAGGCCGCCGACGTCACCTTTTTCCCCAACAGCTCCAGCTCCAGCGAGACAGATAACACCGAGGCATATTGTCCATTCGCTCCGTCGGCTCCGGTTTTTTAAAATCATAATAAATCATCAAGTACGTGAGGGAGTGTAGTGTAGCGGTGATATTAGCCTGAGTGCCTTGCGGAAACATTGGCTGTAGAAATTCGATTCGGCACAAAGCTAGTGAAGCCAGGGGGTCCCAACATAATGTGGACGTAGTTCTCTATACAGTAAGATCCTATAAGTACAGTGGCTCAACTTCTACATGCACCGTGTTGTGTTGTGTTCGGCATCATGTCCTCAAACTTGCCACGCAAACGTGCACTCAAACCGGCTCCTGCAGCCGTCTCTCCAAGATCGTCTTGGAGACATGGCTTGACACACGGCAGGAGGAAGACTTTGTGTTGCTTGCAGACTCTCTGGAAGACGTCAAGGAGGCTGAAGAGTGGCACTTCCCACAGCGATCTTCGCGGCAAATCGCTGTCCTGACATTGCGCCTGGATTTCTTGAGGTGCTGTTGGGTTTGTCGGGTGACACTGATCCATACTTGGAACGGTGGCGTTTCTAGGGACATTTGGGGAGGCTTCTTGGGGTTATAGTAGAAGATCATGGAGCTTGCCCCTGGGAATGTGTAGGCAGGGGAGTGATGTTTCGCACTCAGCGGATTAAACAGAGTGAATTTGATGCAAAGGGGCCCTCACCAATATATAGATCCCAATATGTACGATTATACAATATAAATCAGCATGATTCAACATGATACAAACATGTAACTGTATAGAATTCATTGAATAGATAGATTTGATAGATAGCTAGGCGGATAGATAGACAGGTAGATAAATATTCTGGCCGCCTCGTTTCACGCAGATGTCGGATCGTTTGGGAATTCGACATTGAGATCAGTTGGGAATGCGTGCATTGTGTTCCACATTTTCTTCGGATATACTAGGATATACATTTGGCACAGCACAAGCTGTACGTCCCACCAATGTTGCGAAGAGGCATCAGAGGCCCCAGCCTATCCTTCACCACTCCTCCATTCCGCCTTTGACCATGAGGTTTGCCTTCGCTTTGGGTATAGCGTTGGGCCGACGTGCTCGTAGTTAGCACTGCTATCCCGACGTTTGCATGAGAATCGGCGGGTTGGTTTCATTGGATTTGACATGATTTGACCTTTGATTTCAAGATCACCTGTCACCCTTTCTACCGATGATTGGGCCTGATTGAGAGAGTTATTGAGCGACGCTTCATATCCCAACCTCCTGATGACTTGAAGCACATTCACGCGCTGAACCACTGGGAACATCCAGCTATGGCGCCCTTGATATGAAAGATCCATGTAACACACCTTTTCTGTTTTGGCGTTGAATTACTTTTGACCAAATCCTGCCATGTAGGGTGGGTCCGAGGTGACTGCTAGATGTTCCCAGTATACAGTATCACATTTGTTGTGTCCGAGACGGCGCGGGATTCCTGTAAAGTTACTCCATGTTGGTGCCACGTTGGTGCACCTGACTTTTTTGGGCGTTCGCAAGTGGGGTGGCTCAACAGAGTTGGCTGGTGACTTCGATCACTCCAACGACGCTGAAGCGTCGACCAACGACGCTTCATGGAGAGTTGCATTTCATTGCGAATTTTGTGCGCGGCACTTGGGTGTTGAATTGACCACGTTTTTCATCGTATTTCTTTGATGCGGTGCAAACAGCATCCCAGCACTTGGTCCGTCCGTTCAGTTGTTTGACCTGAAGAGCTGACACGGAGGATGAATTCCGCAACTGTGTTGTTTTCCTTTGTATTCAACGGTTGTGTTCTTTTGGTTTCCGGTTTGATTCACGTGCTGACTCTTCGATGTTTCAAGGCGCTTGGCATGTTGGTTAGAGACGGGCAGTATTCAATTGTATTCAAGCAAGATGACCCTCCGGTCCAAATGTTTGTTTGCCACAAACCAAATGCTCAAATGCAATTCTCGATGCTTCCAGTGCTTCGAACTTTCTCGTGACTCGACCAAACTCGGGTTCGGCGGGTCTCCGGGCCATTTGGCCGGGTCTCCTGGGCTTGAAAACGGTCCTCCAAATGAGTTGTTCTGCCCACGGCGAAAACGGGATTTGGGATGACTTGGGTGTTAGACTCTGTCAGACCCACCCTGAAAAACATGGAACACAGGTCTGACTGGCCAAAAAGATGAAGATCCACAAAGATCCGACTGGCCATTCTGCTTCTGGCATGTGCCGGCATACTGTGCTGACCAGCCACCGGAGAAAGCGCGTGGAAGTTGAAGGGTTTGAGTATGACTGTCGCAAGTATATATATATAGTAAGAAATGAAGGAAATACTATATAGTCACAAGAAGCTAGTAGGTTGGAGGCCATCGCTACTAGTAACAAGATGTAACAAGAAGCTACTAGTAAGAAATGAAGGACCTCAACTAGCCCAACATCCTTTGGATGTGCGGTGACCAGTGTTTCCCGGCTGGTTATGGAGAACACATAACTGCAGTTCCTACAGGTATTAAAACAGTTGTATTACATATGTGGTATTCATTTAACCGTAGGGGGATGACAGTTTATTCAGTTTATGCCTCCTGCCCACTGCCCACTGCCATCCATGCACATAGACTGTCATACTCAGTGTCATACTCGAATTGTGGAAGTGCATCATTATCAGAATTCACACATAAATGAGACATCACCAGATTTGGAAACCTGAGGCTTTTGCAAATGTGCATTTCATCTTGTTCAGCTTCGATTCATTAATCGTTGATTTTGGCTAGCGGTTAGAGAAATTGCGCATATCACCCTTGTGCATAGAATCATTTTGAGCCTGTAGGCACCTTTGTCATCATGAGTGTTCGATTCACCTCAGGCCGCTGCACACGAGGAGTGCATTGTGGAAGGGGAGTTCTCCAGCTGTGACTGGAGGTAGCGACGAGAGTCACTTCCTATGCAATCAATGGGTGCTCAGGCTGAGTGATGGTAATTGATGGGTTACCAATCCTCGATTGCAGTTGGTGAGCGAAAAGCGCAATTCGCATGGTTCTCCTTGTCACGGAGCACCCCTCCAAAGCGAGTCCGAAGCCAAGTCGGGAGCCCAGGATTCACCCCGGTTCAGGTGCCTGGTGATTCTGGGTGAATTCCTGGACTTGCTGCATTTTGTGATTCAATACATGGCGACTGCTGCATTATATATATTTGTGGTATATATATATATACATGAAACTTAATTTATTGATTTGTATTGTATAAGTCACCCAGGCCTGGAGAGGCTTGATCATTCTGGTGTTTAATCAAGGAGTCCACAAGTCGCTCCCACGATGTTCCCCTGGCATTTCTTGGTGCTTGTGTATGGGATAGAGTCCACTTGGGTTGTTCCCTCCTTTTCTCCAGGAACGCCGTTGGCAGCGCATCTTGACGAGCGTCGGGGTCTCCTGTAGCCCGCGCCGACTCGTCGGCTCGAGCTCAAGAGAGCACCTCCGGATTCCGGCGTATGCCGGTCACTAACATGGCAGTCTCATGCATCTCAGACCCGACATTCAGGATCGATGCAACAGCCTCTGCTGGGACCTTCGTTTTCGTTCTCATTCCAAGTGAGGATGTTCTCATCCGAGGCGCCCGCACAACTACCGTGGAAGATTTGTTTTCCACATTTGGTCGGTCGTTTGTTTTTCTTTTTGAATCCAGCAATCGACCACGGATGGAGGATGAATGGAATGGGTCGCACACTGCTCAGGAGTTGGAGCAGAGGAAGCAGGCCTTCAACACACAGCGCTGGGGTCTCAGAGCAGAGTTTCACATGTCCATGAAACCAGGAACAAAGGGGAGACAGGGGTGATACAAAGAGGACAAGCAAGAGATTGTGATGTCGGTCTCCCTGGAGATTGTTTCTGCGTTGCCATGTAGAATCTTTTGGTAACCACTTAGCAATGCCGGCTGAAGTGGTGTGATGCCAGTCGGTCCAGGAATTTGTGAGGCCTTTGGGAACACTTGCATGCTCAAACCGTCTCTAATCAAGTTCAACCCAGCGGTCGACGAGTGGGCTTGAGTGCAAAGTGTTGTTTTTGTTTGGCACATTTGGTGATATTATATTTTTTGCAATCTCTGATTGTTTATGATTGTTTTATTGATCTCGTGGGGCAATCCATAGCTTCCATGTATTGAGAATCACTTGAACTTCGTTTGTCCCAACCCCCTCTCGTCTCACACACACACATATATATATATTGTATGTCTGGCGGCTTGTGGCCACACTCAAAGGCGGCTTGTTTTCGCTATTCTCAGGGCTTAGGGTGTCCACTATTCCAAGACTGCTCCTATAGAGAGAGACCTTACCAGAGCACTACCAGCGCACGCTGACGGGACTTGCGTCTACATAAACATCTCAGACCTTTTTCTTTTAGTGGACTTGTGCTTGACCGCGCTTGCCTAGTTCGGGCCGCAACCCGAAGGCACCTTAGAGGAAGAGAAAGTGGCAGCACGAGCAGAGGCAGGATAAAGCATTGCAACTCCCCTTGGTACAGTCATTTGGCCATTTTTGCTGGCGTGAAGTTGGGAAACTCATGAACTGAAATGCACGTTTCAGAGACCCTCAGCACTTTCAGATTTGGATCAACAACAGGAGTTTCCAAATGTTTCAATTGTCCTGTGGCCGCCCAGGCTGCAATAGAGGAGATGGGACAGAAGAAGGCATGGAATCCATCGGGAGTGGCTCGCGCGCATGGAGGGAGTTCGGAATGCTGCTGCAAGTGGTGGGATGTCAGAAAATGGCACATGAACAAAAGACAGATGCTGCCAGAATGGAGTTGATCAGATGATCTATCACTTCCAACTTCCAACCTTCAAGGAAGATGGCCGTCACCCACTTGGCGAGGCAAGATGATCACTGCAAAGCGCATGAAGAGAGACAACCTAGTTGGCACACTTGCTGAAGTAATGTAGCGACGTAGCCTGCAGCAGCAAAGGCCAATAATTAATTTCGACTTTCCGCTCGGGAGTGATTCTTCTGGTGCGACACCCCACCCCGGCATCGATGTTTTCCCGGTTGACATGGGACAATGCAAGCCAATTCAGGTCGAATCTACATTGGGGGGTACAACAGCCAGCCACGATCAACGCCCTTCCCAACCAAAGCTGCGAGCTCGAGTCCCATTCATGATCAAAGCTATGCTCCCTGGAAGGTGGAAAGCCCCCCAACGGGGCATTTCGGAACATGGCGTTCATTGCCACTTCCATGATGATTCCAGGGAGTGTCATTGAAAAACACACGGATGTGATGTGGGATGATGTGAGAGCCGACGCGCACCAGTTGAGTCTCAACCCTGGGTCAACTCCCGATGGGTTTCCGTTTTCCCGGCTGGCCCTGGCGTCTCCAGGCCAGCGAAGAGGTGGCTTTAGAGCGTTTCGGAGAAGAAGAAGTGGTGCGTGCTCGTGCGGGCACACAGAACGTTTTGGGAGGAGTTACGTGGGACAAGGCGTTGAGTCTTGGGTTATTCGAGGTCTTTCGAAAGGTGAGGGATTGAAACATCGAGTGAATTGTGACACAGTTGCGATAAAGCGGGAACCGCAGTCTGAGGACTACGGTAGCAGAGGTTTAATGTAGGACATGGAGGGGCATTCCTCGGACCGTCCGCCATGACCTGTGACAGGTTCCCAGGCTGCTGAAGCGCGTGGCCAGCAGGAAGGCAGGAAGGGACAGAATCGGGTCCAGGAAGTCAAGGCTGTGTTGAATGTGATTTGGTTGCCTCCTTCAGCTATGGCTTTCGGCCAAGCTGACCACTATTCGTCATTATATATATATATATATAAATAGGTCATGTTGGGACTACATGCATGATGGCGTGGTTTAATGATTCGGACATAGTACCTCATAGATTTGCCCCAGATGACAGGTGCTACAGATTCAACACATGAGCTTCCTACCACTCATAACTGGTTAATGTGGATGTAACTGAATGCGCTTGGATTAATTCATTGGCGGGCAGGTTCGAGATTGTTCTTGAGAACTCTCAACGTAGCCTAGCTGGAAAAGGGACAAGCTTGGTGGCGCACGCAGGGGTGTGTGTGTGTGTTTGTGTGTTGTGTTTGTTTGTTTGCCTGTGATTGTGTGTTTGTGGCTCGGGGCTGTCAGGGGCCAAAACTACGTGGCTCAGTATTTGAACAGATTCTTTGTTCATGTGCAGC